GTGGTTTATTGTCTCCTCAAAGACAGTAATGAGAACACTCATCATATTTGTTGGCTATGAAAATGAAATTGATCTGCCTCCCTGATAGAAAGAAGAGTCAGAGTCTGGGGCTCTTCTGGCTTGTGGGACCCACTTGTGCATTGGGTAGTTTTTGTGTTATGATGCGAACAAGGCAGAAAGGTAGGTTGCAGCATATTTTTGACAGGCAGATGGGACTTGGAAAACATCAGTAAAGGAAAGCAAGAAATTCAGAAGAAGAATGAATCAATGGGAGGAGGAAAGTGAGAAAAGAGAGGACAGATAAGAAGGGAAGGGAACAAACATTTATTAAGTGCCTACTATGTGAAAGTGGATCATAGGATGGATTTGGAAGTGAAAGGGAGGCCATTGAGTCCCTTATTTTATAGATGAGGAAACTGAAGCACAGAGAGTTTGCATGACTAAGGATTTAAACCCAGGTCTGTCCTTACTCCAAGACTAGTTACCTGTCTGCTATGCCATGTAATGGTCTCCTTGTGTGTCACATCCTTTATAACTGCTGGAGAGAGAGATTAAGGGTGCTGAGAGGAAATTTACAAAACTGCCCATTAACATGAAAGTGCTAGCTTACCCACCTCTGTCTTAGAAATCAGCTTATCTCCCAAGTGTTTTCTTGACATTAGCATCAGTCTAGAACAGATCAAGGAAGAATATGTATTTGTTAGGTATGTTAGGGCATGTTACAATGTCACCTTCCCAATAACCACTTTTAGTGCCAAGCTGTAGAAATGCAAAGACTTTCATTCCTTTTAGCTGAATTTCATCTGTAATGTAGCTAACACCTTTCTTGTAGGAATGAGTAGCTTTTCCCCCACCCCAAGTAGAATTCCTTGAAAGTTCTACCATTTACTGAGGCTGTGTTCACTTAACAGGGATGTGAAACATTTAAATCAACATATTTAATCAAACCTCTGGATTGGCAACAAAACAGAATTCTTAAGCACTGTTCCTGGTGTTTGTGTAGGACAGGACCCAAAGCAGCAGTTTTGCCTCTCATTCATTAATCAATACATTAATCCCAAACGAAAATGGGCATGTAGCATTCTGTGCCTTTGTTCAGTGAGCCAGGCTGGAAAATTGCCTACGTAAACATTGGAGGGTGATTTTGGATGGTGCAGGCTGTTCTAATTTTAGCTGAACTGTTTTGCAAGGTTTAATAAGCAAAGTAAGTACAGTATTCTATAAATATGGCCAGTTCCTCAAATGCACGTCACTCTGGATAAGACTAGAATACTTATGCCTTCAAAACTGATGCCTGTTTTCTTAATTATAGACTTTCTCTCCCCAGATAGAAAACAACTTCCTAGGTGGCAGAAATGCTCAAAGTCTCCGCTCTGCACCCAAATGTAGCATCACCTACAGAGAGGTAGTGTTAGCATGGTGGGGGGTGCATTGGGTCTAGAGAAAGGAAGAACTGGGTTCTTACAATGGGCTAGGCACAATGCTAAGTATTAAGTGTACAAGGTAAAAACATTCCCCACCCTCAAGGAACTTATCTTTCAATTGGGGAAATATATATATATATATATATATATATATATATATGAGAGAGAGAGGGAGAGGGAGGGAGAGAGAGAGATCTCAGAGGGAAAGGCACTAGCAATAGGGGCCACTGGGGAAGCCTTCTATAGAAGGTGCCATTTGAACTTGGTCTTGGAGGAAGGCAGGGAGGCTAAGACGTAGGGGTGATGGGGTGGAATATTCCAGGCATGGAGGATAGTCACTACAGTTGGGCCATAGACTGTGTGCAGACTACAAAGGTAGGACAGGGCCAAATTGTAAAAGGCTTTAAAAGCTGAACAGGATTTTACATTTGATCCTTGAGATAATAGGGAACTACTGGAGTTTGTTGAATGTGGGGTGGTCTCATGGTCAGACCTCCACTTTAGGGAGAGGACTTTGGCGGCTGAGTGGAGGATTGTCTGGAGTGGGGAAAGACTCAAGGCTGGGAAACCAACCAGAAGGCTATTGCAGTGGTCAAAGGGAGAGGTGATGAGGGCTTGTACTAGACCAGTGGTCGTGAGTGGATGGAGAGAAGGGGATGTACACAAAAGATATTGTGAAGGTAAAAATGTTGAGATTTGGCAACAGAATAGATACGCGGGATGATTGAGAATGAGACGACTCCCCTCAAGACAGTGGGGTGAGTGGAAACAGCCCAGCCATCTCATATCACTCCATTTCAGTTGGAAAAATAGCCCCAGACCAAGTAATAATCATTAAATCGATAGAAAAACTACCAGCCCAGGTCTGCATGAAGAAGCAGCAAGAAAGCTTCAGCCACTGGGGAGAGGTCCAGACAGAAAAGGCTTCCACCTTTGGGAAACAGGGAAAACCAGGGAACTGTGGAGTCTGAAGCCATGTACCAGGAGCAGGGAGAGTGGAGTCTGGACCAGGGTCTAGAGCCTACAGCAGTGTCACTGTCACCATAACTAGACATCAGGAACCTAGGGGTCTCAGAGCCAGGCAATGAGCAAAGCTCTCTGTAAGCCCGATAGCCCAAGCTTAGTGCTCTCTGGGTCTGCTCCTGAGTCCCTTGAAGAACATTTTGCTGTTTACCCTGACCCCAGATAATACTAATCAGGACCAAAGAATGCCTGACTCTTCCTTCCAGAGGTACGCAGATGTTGGCCCTGACATTTTAGGAAATAAAACTCAAAAAATAGATAGAAGAAAGTGCTAATAATAGAGGAGAGAGGGGTCAAGGGTGATACTAGGGTTTGTGAGACTGGTGCCTGAGCCTTCAACAGTATCAAGGTCAGGAAGAGAGGAGGATTTTGGGAGAAAGATAACAAATTCTCTTTTTGGATCTGTCAAGTAGGGGCTGTCTACGATATGTCCAATGGGCATCTGACAGTGGGGGACGATAGCCGGAAGGCAGCACGGATTGAATGTGTAGATCTGGGCATTATCTGCGTAGAAATGATCATTGAGGGGGCGTGCTAATCAGGTGAGCTAGGAAAGAGGGAGAAGGGATGAGTGCCCAGGACAGAGCCTGGTATGTTCGCTGCTTGGTTGATCTTCTGATAATGCAGAAGCACCAATGGCCCACAAATCCAGCTTAGAGAAAGACATAAAGCCTGGAATATCTCAGAATGAATTAAAAGAGGTCACTGATTGTGAAGATTAAGCAAGGTCCTTAATAGAGAGCACTGGACCTAAAGTCAGGAAGATCTGAGTTCAAATCCTGCCTCAGACACTGTATCTGACCCTGGATAAGTCACTTAACCTTTGTCTGCCTCAGTTTCTTTAATAGTGAAATGAAGATAATAATAGCATCTACCTCCCAGGGTTGTGAGGATAAAATGAAATGATAATTAAAAAGAGCTTTATAAATCTTAGAACACTATATAAATTCTATTGTTGTGACTATTATTATCTTCATGACTAAGACTGAGGTCCTTTGTTTGCACATAGTACATCTTAAGAACGTCTACATGACCTTTTTTCCCTAAGAAACTACACGTATCGTTTTAAAACAGTGACCAGCTCTTCAGAGAACAGGAAAAAAGAGCTGAGTGTAGTGGGAGAGGAAACACTTATCTGTGAGAGTGACAAAGGAGAGGCTAGTGACAGAGTGCGGACAGTGGAAATTAATGTTAATTTGTTAACCTCAGGCTCCAGAGTCAAATGACGTGATTTGAAGCCAGCAGGGTTTCCATGATAACTTTCTACTGCACTTGTGTGGGTCTATTATATTGACCCCATTCTTCAGGCATCTGACTGATCATGACTGAATATTGCAGAATAGCTGAATTCTGTGACCATTTTAGGGTAATGATAGCCACATGTAAGAGACACTTGTGAATCATGGTTTTTGGAGAAATGACATTGCCATCCACTTCATCTTTGAATGAAGAAGGTGATGACTATGTTTGTGTCTTTTCCGCATTCAAAAGATGAGAGGAAAATACTCATCTCTGCCTGTTGCCTTTGTATTATTGAAAGTCGGAAGAAAGAGGCAGACAGGAGTCTCGTATTCTCTGTGAGATTTATAGTTGGGAAGACTAGTCAAATCCTGCCTCTCAGCTTTTGCTAGCCATGTGACCCTGGGCCAGTCACTTAAATTATCTGTTCTTCAGTTTCCTCACCAGTAAAATAAGGGTGATAATACCTGCAGTTTTCTACCTCACAGGTTCAGTGAACTATAAAAGCACTAACAAATCTAACAGTAGCATGTTGATAATGTCTGGGTCTGGATATACGCACACATACATGTGTGTATATATATGTATATATACAAACACATATGTATACATATGTATATACACATATGTGTATATATGTATATATGTGTGTGTGCGTGTATGTATGTATCTCCAATGCCTGACTCAGTGCCTTGCCACGTTTATTGGTTTGATGAGTGAATGAATGTATTATGACAAGGTCCGTGCCCTGTGCTCACTTATAGTCTAGCTTGAAAGGGAGGAAATGGACACAGGAAAAGTTAAATAAACATCAGGAAGTATGTGCTGACTGTCAGTTGAGGAGCTTAAACCAATCAACAGAGCAGTTCTTCCCCCCCCAATTTTAATATTTTATTTTTCCCAATTATATATAAAAACAATTTTTAACCTTTTTTGAGTTCCAAATTCTCTCCCACCCTCTCTCCCTTCTGTCGTCATTGAGAAGGGAAGCTTTTTGATAAAGGTTATATGTGTTCAGTCACACAAAACATATTTTCATATTAGTCATGTGAAAGAAAACACACACGGAAAACACAAGAAAAATAAAGAAAGTGAAATAATAGCAAGCTTTGAGTGGCGCCGTTCCAAGAGTGGCAAGCCCACTGAGGGGCGCAGCAGTTGGGACTGCCAAGGGAGGGGCCAGTTGAGGAGGGAGATGGTCGGAAGTCTCAGAAGCTGCAGGTTCCCTCTTGTTTCTTAGTTACTTGTCCCATCCAGAGAAGGTCGGTTTTCCTGATGTCACTTGTCTGTCTCTGCAAACATTTTACCCATCAGCCTCAGCAGAATGGTATCTCTCCATGCATGTTCAAGGCCTTTGTCAGCAAGAGTCACCCTGAATTCTCCTCCAACAGACAGCAGGATGCTCAGGAGTTTTTCTTGCACCTGGTAAATCTAGTGGAGGTGAGTACTCCTTTCTCTCTCTTTTTTTTTAAGAAAAAAATTATAATTTTTTCCAATTAAGGGTGAATATTCTTATTCCAAAAGTGGTAAGATGAGTAAAAACTAGCTTGCCACATTTCTGCACATTAGGCTGGGAGTGCTCATCTCATTTTATTCTGCCTGCCCGATCCCAAAATCTTAGTCTTTTTGAAACCTGGCTTAAAATTCTCACCTACCCCATTTGACTGATTGTGACTTTCTGATCTGCTTCTTTCCCACTTGTACTGTATTAATTTGAGTTTCCTGATATTGTTGCCCAATAGAATATGAGTTCCTTGAGGGAGGGGACTGTTGCGTTTTGATCTTTGTATTCCCTAGTGCCCAGTGCATAGTAGGTTCTTAAATACTTGTTGAATTGAAAGTAAATAAAAATTGAATTAAATGCTTATTGAATTGGATTAAAAGTATTCCATTACTCCTACCAGAGTATAGGCTCCATAAGGATCCTGTCCTATTTCCTTTCTCTGCCCCTCCTGGCCAATAATGAATCAATGAAAAGGCATTTATTAGGCACCTACTATGTGCCCAGCATTGTACTAAGAGCGAGGGATACAAAGAAAGGCAAAATCAGTCTCTGCCCTCAAGGAGCTCATAATCTAATGGTGTGTGTGTGTGTGTGTGTGTATAAGATAATATGTACAAAGAAGACATAGACAGGGTAAATTGGAGAGAAGGTACTAGCATTAGTGCAGAAAAGGCTTCTTATAAAAGGGGATTTTAGCTATTAATTAAAGGATGTCGGGGAAGCCAGGAGACTGGGAGGTGAGGAGGGAGAACATTCCAGGCATGGGGCACAGCCAGTGGAAATGCCTGGAATTTGGAGATGGAAGGTGTTGTTTGGGGTGCAGCAGGGAGCCCAGCGTCCCTGGACTGTAGAATCCCTCGGAGGGGAGTGAGGAGAAAATGATTGGAAAGGCAGGAAGGGACCAGGTTATGAATTTCAACTTAGTTCTTCCTGACTCAGAGCTCAGCTTTCCATGTCCTGTGCTGCCACTGCCTCTATTCTTAGTCTGCTGTTATCTGAATATGTGAACTTGATCTAATCCAACCCCCAGAGGAACCGAATTGGCTCTGAAAACCCAAGCGACGTTTTCCGGTTTGTGGTGGAAGAACGGATTCAGTGCTGTCAGTCCCGGAAGGTGCGCTACACCGAGAGGGTCGACTATTTAATGCAGTTGCCGGTGGCCATGGAGGCGGCAACCAACAAGGGTAAGACAGACATAACAACAGGCATGGGTGTGTGCATGTGCACACTCACACAGACACATGTACACACACACACACACACACACACACAGACACACACACATATACGCATCCCTAGAACAGAGATTATTTACTTGCATCCTTATAAGAGAAAAGTCTAAAACCTTCTATGTGGGAGGCCTTGTGCTATGTCCTGATGGTACGAAGATGTATTAAAACAACAGCGCTCAGCCTCTGGATGCTTATATTTCTGCTTGGAGGATGCGACATCTCAGCCGATAAATCTGACGGTCCCATAGCATTTGTTATGCCCCTCTTGGCACGTTTGCCCTCCTAACATGGCAGGAAAATCCCCCAAATCTCAATGTACTTTTGCCAAATGATCTTAAAAGTAATTAAGATCCTGAAGGAAGGTTTCCCTTCTCAGGAGCAGCCAACAACGGCAGTTTCCAACGTTGCTCATTTGATCTTGGTTGTCTTTTCTCCCCGCTTAGATGAGCTGATTGCCTATGAGTTGACAAGAAGGGAAGCAGAGACATCCAGGAGACCCCTCCCAGAATTGGTTCGGGCCAGGATTCCTTTTAGTGCCTGCCTTCAGGCCTTTTCGGAACCTGATAATGTGGAAGATTTCTGGAGCAGCGCCTTACAAGCAAAGTCTGCCGGTGTGAAGTAAGTGCATGGGCTGTGTGTGTGTGTGTGTGTGTGTGTGTGTGTGTGTGTGTATACAGCAGAGGTTCTTAACCTGTGCATAGATTGAATGTGGGTGGGTCTGTGAACTTGATAGGGGAAAAAACCACATCTTTATTTTCACTAATCTTTAAGTGAAATTTGGCATTTCCTTCAATTAATTTAAAAACATTATTTGAAAAGTGTGTAGGCTTTACTAGGCTGACTAAGGAGTTCACAGAAATACAAAAAAATTAACAAACCTTGGTTTAGCGGGACAAGTCTAGGACCTTGTAAATTGAGAAATGCTTATCTGGTTGCCTCCATCATTAGTGAGGTGAGGTGAGCAGGGCACCACCCCTCAAACCAGACACAAAACACGACTATGACTTTCCTGTAACACTGTTCAGCTTATACCACTACTACTGCTAAATATTATGTAAACAGCAAGGAATGGGCCTAATAAATCTACTCCCTAATGGAAATTTATATATATATATATATATATATATATTGTAACAGTCCGGATCTGAGATGAGGAGGGCCCATACCAGGGTGGTAGCAGTGTCAGAGGAGAGAATAGGGGTACAGAGGAGAGATGTTGTGAAGGTGGAATGGACAGGACTTGGCAACAAATTGGATATGGGGGGTGTGAGGAAGAGTGACCCAGTTCTGAAGATGATGCCTAGGTTGTGAGCATGGGTGCCTGGAAGGATGCTGGTACTTCTCCACAGTAATAGGAAAGTTAGGAAAAGGGAAATACTTGAGGGTGGGTGAGATTATGAGTTCAGTTTTGGACGTGGTAAGTGTAAAATTCATAAGAACTCTTGCTGGTCTGATGGCCTTGGAATCCTTGAATGTCTTGCTCAAGTGGTTGAGGCCTGTCCTATGTCGTTCTTTTTTTCTTTATCTTTTATTCAAAATGCAGCCTTTTCATTTTGGGAAGTCATTTGTCTGTCAACTCCCTATCTCCTGAAATGGCAAGAAGAAAACCTTTTGTTTCTTAAAGAGCAGATCCAACCTGGATTCCCAGGTTAAAAGTTAGGGAGCACTTCTATTTGGCTGTAAAGGCTGGTTTCATTAGCTCTAGTTGCTTATCAATCAATCAATAATCATTTATTAAGTGTCTACCATGTGCCAGGCACTGTGCTAAGCCCTAGGGTTACAAAAAGAGGCAAAAGATAGTTTCTGCCCTTTGAGGAATTTACAGTCTAATGGGAGAGGCGACATGCAAACAAATACACGAAGCAAACTATATAAAGGACAAATAAAAAATTATTAACAGAGGGCAGTCACTAGAATCAAGAGGGCTTGGGAAAGATTACCTGTAAAAGATGGGATTTTAGTTAGCATCTAAAGGACTAGTGCCTTGGATTAAAACAAAACACCTGGATTATCTTCCTATATTTACTACCTATTTCAGATCATGTTCTGGGACAAGTTACCCAAACACCTAAATTTGCAAGACAAAATCATAAGAAAAGTAGTGGAGAATGGAAAAAGGTTCCTTTAAGACCTCTTACTGGGGGAGAGAATTCTTAACCAGGCAAGGTATAGGTGGGATCATAAAAACTAATGCTGACAATTTTAATTTTGTAAAATTATAAAGCTTTGCATTAACAAAAATCAGTATGCTTAGGGCAAGAAGGGAAGATGTCATTTGTTCAATTGCACCAAATATCTCTGAAGAAAGTCCATTATGTAAAGTATAGATAGAGAATTGAAACAAGTATATAACACCAAAAGCTATTCCCCAGCAGTTAACTAATATAATAAAATAGTTTTCAGAATATAAGAATCAAGTATGTTTTCTATGAACAAAATGGTGTGATGCTTCCTGGTTCAAGATCATTTTGTTCACCAAAAAGCGATTTTTATGCTTTTGATTATGTAGAAGGCCATGGTAGATGCTGTCCACAGCTTCTCACATATGGGGTTCCTGCTTTTGGAACAATTTTCTAGAAAAGGAATTATGATCTCCCCCATACATAAAGAACATCCTTAACAGTTTAGAGGTGACTGAATATTAGCAGTGATAAATGTGAGCAAACTTCTGATGTAAAGAAGATGGAAAAATATGGCCCGAGGAAGCAGGAGATTTTTATGAAGTTTTCTTGAAATGTTGTGAACATCAGTTTGGGGAAACCAGAGAAGGGAACTGGTCAAAGGGAATAGCCTATAATTATATCTTCTCTTTGGCATAGTGATGGAATAGGAGGAGAGAGTTGCCCTTTTTTTAACCTTAGTCGTGAGATTATCAGGGCCCATGGATGTTCACAGCACATCCAAGAAAGAGGAAGGGCTCTCTTTTCTATGTGACCTTTCTTCCACAGGCCTTTTAAAAAATCTTAAATGTGTATTAGAGGGCAATTAATATAATTTAGAAATGAGAAGTGTTTATGTCTGCATGCATATATACACATGTTCAGGGACTGACACCAATTAATTTAATGGATAGGGGCTTAGAAAATTAGTAGTGTAGGTATGCTGTTGTGTCTGTTTTTAACCCGCTGGCCTGTCGGTTTGCTTATCTTCATTTTTCTTTCATTCATGCCTTTATCCAGCACCAGTTTGCCAAGCTCCTGCTCTGTATGGTGCACTGTACCAGGCATGGAGAGGAGGGTCAAAGGTGAACAATTTATGACTTCTTTCTGTTCCATCCACTCGTGCAGATTGAAACCCTTCCCCATGCCTCAGCAAGCCATCCAAATGAGTCTCTGTGGTGTCTAGATTCTTCCTTTAGTGATCCTGTTTCTAGTGATGAGCCTTTCCACATTCAGTGGGTGAGTCGTGGGACCGCACACTCACGACTGATTGGTCACTGAAGTCAGAGTCTTTCCAATTTGGTAGACCTGCTGAATCTTCATTCTGCAAGCACAGGCCCTGGGAGCCTGAGGTCCCTTCCATAGTCCAGGGAGACACGAGAACCAGATTTTATAGAAGCTTTCTCCTAAATCAAGTGCTTCAGTCCTGACGTATTGATGTATTGATCATTTATCACAATGACTAAAAGCACTGCATATCCATTCAGTCATTATCTTATTTTGAACCCAGCCTTCAGAGCACTTGAAATGATAATGATAACAATGATAAGCAGAATATTATAATATTAATTAATAAGCAGAACTATTTTTAAAATTAATTGTTATTGATGTCTTTTTTTTTAATCCCCTAAACTTCTCCCTGTAATTGCTCTCTTCCACTCTACCAGAGAGCCATTCTGTGTAACAAAGGATATAGGCTTTCATTTTATATTGTAACATAAGGGGGAAATCCCAACAATTAGCTTCATGGAAAAAAAAAATAAACAAATGGCCAATTCATTCCCTTGCTAAGTGAACGAGTACTAATTTGCTGCCATTGGAGTGTAAGTTCCTTAAAGGCAGTACTTTTGTTTCTTTCAAATACCCCTAGCCCTTAGCACAGTGCCTGGCCCTAGTAAAGCACTTCACGGATGCTTTGTGTATCTAGTAAACCCTACTAGAGACAGCTTTCACCAGTTAATCAAACAGACTGATGGTTTTAGGATAGAAGAGTCAATACCCTGGACTTCTAGAATTTGTTGGCAGTTCCTGGTCATTAGACTCTACCAGATTCAGAAAACTATGAATGAGCCAAATGCTTAATGAATCTAGCCCAGATTTCCATCTGTCAGTAATGGTTTAGTAAATAGCTCCTTTCAGGGAGGAGTACGTGTGGTCTGATGTGGACTAGGAAGGGTTCCATGAAAATACCACCAGCTCTGTTTCCAAGTCCATCTCTGACCTTTACTGCCAGTGTGGCCTTTGGAAAGTCACTGCCCTCCTGAGCCTCAGTTTCTTCATCTGTTAAATGAGAGAGCTGGCGTCAGAGGTGCCTCCCACCTTGAGAGCTGGGGCCCCAGTCCCTCTCTGAGCTTGGGTAGGTCTCTGCCACAGCCTCGGTTCTGCTTCTCCTAGCATCAGGAAATGCTGTTGCACAAACCTGCCACATGAGGGGGCCGATGGTACAAGATTTCAATACTCTCTCAACTGAAAATTGGGGCAGCCCCTCGTCCCATTTTGGGATTTGGTGAGTTCTAACAAATAGAAACACTGAGAGGTTTGCTAGCAGAGGGCAGGGGTAGAAATTAGGTAAGCGTGTAATTCATGTTTGACTCAAGATGCTGTGAAGAGGCAGCATCACATAGTGGGCACTGTTGGCTTTGGAGTTGAAAAGACCTAGTTCAAATCCCACTTCTGAGACTTACTGTATGACCTTGGAGAAGTCACTTAATATCTGTGGCCCTCAGTTTCCACAAAAGCAAAATGATGTAGTTAGACTAGATGGTGTCTGGAGCCCCATTCAGCCAGTCTAAGATCCTATGTTCCTGGCACCCTTTCTTGCTTTTGCAGTGGGCACACTCACACGCGCGGACCCAGTGGCACTGCCCTCAGACCTCTACTGTTCCAATTACCTGAGTTACAGGGCATGAGGAGAAGGGAGGAAGATACAGCTTGGAACAATCTGTCTTCTCCTCTCAAGTGGCAGTGGGTGACTCTTCAGTGACAAAATAACTCAGAGTCAACTTTTTCCTCTCTACTCTCTGTGCTGGATGGAAATCTCACCCCAACACTAGCCTCTCCCACCTTTGCCTTTTGGATAGCCCGTAACCCATGGTGCACTGCCCACTACCCATAGTCCACAACCCTTGGAGTCCACAGGACTGCCCTTTGAGATCCACCGGTGCTGGCCGTTGGTGGGTTCCTCTAGTACATATTTTCCTAAGCACAGCACAGAAAAATGGCAATAAAAAGGGGGAGGAAAAGCTCTATTTCTGACATTCATTGACAGAACCTTAGTATCAACTGTATTTGGGTGGCTAGACATATAAAAAGCTTAGAATTATATTTTGTGTGTTAGTGAATTCAACTTTGTTTACTTTCACATACGGGATAGTATTCATCACTTCTTTGGAGATATCACTGTCTTTTCTTGAGATTCAGCTTCCTCTAATGTCAAATGGGAGAGTCAGACGAGATGATTTGCTGTAAGGGAATGGCTTTGTAAACCAGCTCTGGCATTCTGTGATTTTATGAAACCAGATGAAAAAAGACATTTAATTTTGAAACTTTTGAAGGCTGGGTAGAGTTAATAATAGGTCACTGGTGACCTTTTCCCAGAGCTTTGCATATGTACTTTGTCATGTATAGTTTACTAAGTCATCCTTACAAAATGTGTAGTCATTATGATTCTCCTTGGGGAAATTGGGGAAATTGAGCCAACTACATGGTTAAATGATGTGCCCAAGGCCACATCATTTATATCAACCAGTCATCAGTAAGCATTTATTATATGTTTACTATATGCCAGTCAGCGGCTGGTGGCTCAGCGGATAGAGCACCGGACCGGGAATTAGGAAGACCTGAGTTCAACTGTAGCCTCAGACACTTACTAGCTATGTGACCCTGGACAAATCACTTAACCTAGTTTGCCTCAGTTTCCTCCTTTGTAAAATGAACTGGAGAAGGAAATGGCAAACCACTCCAGTATCTTTGTCAAGAAAACCCCAGTTGGGGTCACAGAGAGTCGTACGTGACTGAAATGACTGAACGACAACAAAATATGCCAGTCAGCCAACTTGTGGTTTACTACGTCGGTGCTAGAGATGCTAATCAAAGAAGCAAATGTGAATTGCTGGTAACACTGACACTGGTGATCAGAATGGTGATAATTACTAACAATTCTGTGATGTTGAGGTTTAAAGTATTATCTTAAAATTACTTTTCACAACTTTGCTGAGGAGTTCATAAGTAACAGCTCAAACAAATCCTGGCTGTGTGACCATTGGCAGATTGTTTAACCTCTTAGTGTCCAAAGCAGCTCTGCATGTCTATATTTTGTGGAGAAGGGGCTGCCCTGTGTTGATCAGAGGGGTCCCTCACCAAGAGGTCCTTGCCCTGATGAAATGACAGGCTTATCCCCAGAAACTTCTTAAAGAAATAACAGCTCACATTGACATATCAGTTACAGAGCCGACTTGTGAGATGTATGTGTTGTCACTCCCATTTTACAGATGAGGAAACTGAGGCCCAGGGCTGTGAAGTGGCTGGCATGATTACACGACTAGTTAGTGGCAAAGCCAGAGCTTAGAAGCAGGTTTTCTGCCTCTAAATCCAATATTCTTTCCCTTACCCACACCTGATACAAAGTCCTGATTCTCCCATCTCACTGCCCGTCCAGTGCCCACTTCAGCACAATTTGTCCAGAGTGTTCTGTATCTTTATGTATAACTCTGAGTTGGGACAGAGGGTAGCCTTGGGCCAGCTTATGGGGATCCCATATGGCAGTGTAAGCTTGGTGGAGCAGGTTGGGTATCCTTCTTCTTTGAGATGCCAGCTTACCCCCTCCCCAGCCCCATCCCACCCAAGACTTCTGCCTCTCAGAGGAGGTGTGGAAAAAAAACCCCTCAAAAACAAGGCTCCATTTTGAGGGTAAAGTCCTCAAATTTGGCAAAGTAGGTAGTTATTTAATGCAGTGGCTTATTGCTGACGTCTTCTCAGGGTCCAGGCCACCAGGCAGCCTTGCATTAGGGGAAGCAATGTTATAATGAGGTCCTCATACTTCCCAGTAATAAACCCTTGGACAATGGCTGCCATAAACCCCTCTTGTACCAACTTTCACACTAAATTATAACAGTTCATATTTTCCTAGCATTTTACAATTTGCAAAGTGTTTTCTCCACAAGAATGAGAGAGATAGACAGGGAAAATATTTTCTTCATTTTACAGATGAAGAAACTGAGACTGTATGAGTTTAAATGACTAGCCTATGGTCATATCAATCAGAAAACATTTATTAAGCACCAACTGTGTGTCAGGAGCTGTGCTAAGCACTGGAGATTCAAAGGCAAATATGAAACTGTTCCTTCCTCAGAGAGCTTATATTCACATGAAGGTGGGGTTTGAATTCAGAACTCCACACTAAAGTGGATAGTATCATAGTCAGACTTTTCTGTTTATCTCTAGAGAGAGTGAGTTTTATGATGATTCAAAGGTCAGCGGTGATTTTTAAGTGCCTGCTATGTGCTAATCTCTCTGCTGAGCTCTGGGGATCTAAGACAAATGGGCAATAGCCTTTGCCCTCACGAAGTTTACATTATGAGAGTACAAAAAACATGCCAAGCTTATGCCGAGTAATTTTGGGGGCAGGCAGGCTCAATAAGCATTTATTAAGCAACAACTGTGTGCCAGGCATTCTGATAAGCGCTTTACAAATATTATCTCTTCTAATCAGGAAAAGCCTTGTGTAAGATGTAGCACTTGAGCTTTGAAGGGATCCAGGGATTCCGAACTACACAGCTGAGGCTGGAGAGCATCATAGGCTAGGGGGGACAGCTTGTACTTAGAAGCACAGAGATAGGAGATAGGATTTCCTGTATGGAAAAGAGCCAGATGCCCAGTTTGACTCTAATGCAGAGTATCTAAGGAAGGAGAAATGTTGAGTTAACCTGGAAAGATAGATCGGAGCCAGACTCTGAAGGGCTTTAAATACCGAGGGAAGGAATTTTTATTTTTTTATCCCAGAGATAATAGTGAGCCACTGACTCTTCATGAGTAGGGGAGTAGTATCATCAGGCCTTCTTGTGTTTTAGGAATATTTATTGAAGAGGAGAGAAATTGGAGGTGTGAAGGACAATTAGGAAAGGTGATGAAGGCTCCTTCACAGGAAATAATGTATGGTCACTTATACTTAGATGATGGCCTTTAATTAGTAAAAGACTCAGCAGAAATTGACAAACTATGCAAAGAATGAGGAGGAGAGAGAAAGGTACAGACAGGAGCCTGAGTGGCCACAAATAGTGGCCTGGAGTGGGATGCTTGGTTTTCCTGTACTTGTTTCTTCTTCTTTCTTAAGTGGAGGTTACTATGGTAATATAAAAAATGCATTTCAGAAAGAAGAGGAGGCAGCTAGGTGGCTCAGTGGATAGAGCACTGGCCCTGGAGTCAGGAGGACCTGAGTTTAAATCCGGTCTTAGGTACTTACTAGCTATGTCACCCTGGGCAAGTTGCTTAACCCTGATTGCCTCAAAAAAAGAAAAAAAGATGTATTCAAGCTAGAGATGCCTCATGTATGGTGGAAAGTTCACTGTATTTTGAGTCAGAAAACCTGGTTGCAAGTCCTGACTCTGAAGTTTACTGAAAGACAACATGTTCCAATTCTGTCTCTGTTCCTTACTTTGAGCGATTTACACAACCTCTCTAGTGATATAAAGCAAGGAAGCTGGACTAGAAGGGGTTCTAAGGCCTTTCCAGAGCCAGATTTATGGTCTTAGGATCTTGGGATACTTGAGTGGGTCATCTCTTTGCATCTCACTTTCCTCATCTCTGAAATGGGAACAATACCTGTACAATCCTATCACAGTGTGGCTCTTGGGGTAGCTTTGTAAATTTTAAAACTATAGAAGTGTGAACTATTTTGGAAAGCAGAAGTGGAGATTGGATTGGGGACTGGACCTGGTCAGAGTTGGCAAGACCAACGTTCTATCCACTGCTCCACCCTGCCTTTCATCTTGAGAGGATATGTTAGAAATAGCAGATGCCACATGTGCTCGAACAACTAGAATGCCAGCTCACAGAAGGCAGGGACGGGTTTCCTTTTGACTGTCCGTCTTCCTAGCACATATTGCCTGGCACATGGTAGGTGCTTCAGAAATGCTTGTGGATTGATTTAATACTCTTTTTTAAAAAAAAATCTGAAGGTATCAACTCAGGTGACATCACCTTTAGGCTGGTTAGGACTTGACCTCAAGACTTGTGCCAGAGAGGTAGACAGATAATAGAAGGTGTAGGTGTGAGACTCTGTGTGTGTGTGTGTGTGTGTGTGTGTGTGTATGTGTGTGTATATGGTCTCCTCTTCCTTCTCGTGGCTATACCTGGTTCAGGCCAGTCACTGGTCCTATTGGGCACGGCTCCCATTAAATCTGGGCTGCTTCAGAGGTTGTGTTCACGATTCTTGTTGCCTTATGTCACTGATCTAATTCGTTTGTGTTTTCCAGAACATCCCGCTTTGCCTCATTCCCTGAGTACTTGGTAGTACAGATAAAGAAGTTCACTTTTGGTCTTGACTGGGTTCCCAAAAAGTTTGGTAGGTATTTTTTTTTTGGCATGCTTTTGCTTGAAATGTTGATTTTGAAGCATGGTATGTGAATGAGCCTGAGAAGCTTTCGTGAGGACACATAGGGTGCCCAGGTTGGAGGAATTGACTCCATGCCATTCTTGGGATTAAATTTTCCTCCTTCCCTTTTTAAGAAGAGTATATATGTGTGCACATGTGCATGCATGCATGCGAAATGGATGTTAAACATTTATCCCAAGGGTTTTACTCTATTACTATTTTGTGGGATGACTGGTCTGAGGAGTGGAAAAAAGGAAGACCGCGTATAAAACAGAAACTACAGTCACTGGTCTAACTTCTTCTCTGCCCTTGAATTTTACCAGGGGAGAAATTAGCCTAGTTCAGTCCATTGTGTCTCTTAGACTTACGTGTTTATCTGTGTGTGTATATATTGTCCTCTTCTTCCCCTCCTCCCCAGAATTGTAAGGAAGTCCTGGGTTGAAATCCTGGCTCAGACATTTAATAGCTGGGTAACCCTGGACAAGTCACCTAGCTTCCCTATGCCTCTCTTTCTTCATCTGTAAACTCAAGGAGTTGGGCTCAATTGCCTTCAAGGTCCCTTCCAGATGTCCAGCTATGATCCTATTAAATGAATTCTCTGATCTCCTAGGTCATAGGTGGTTTTTGATCTGTATTAGCTGGGAGAATTCCCCTTGCTGATGAAATCACAGCCCATCCACCCAGAGAATATGTATAGGCATCGGTTCCAGCTCTTTCCTTTTCCTTTCCTTCATTTCTGAGGGGAAAAGAACAAGGGTGTTTTAGATGTTTGACCGTAGATTTTTATTTTTCCTTAGAGTTTCCTTCACTTCCCTTGGAAGTTAGAATTGAGAGCAGTATTTAAGCATTTAGCATCAAAATGTTAGTCTTCAATGCTAGGTGAACAGTAACCCACCTAACTTTGCCCTGGCCAACATCATTTTGTGTTCCTCTTGGTAATGCTTTATTCTAACCAGATTCCACCAGAATACCATTAAACTCTGCTGTAATGTTCCGCTAGTTGCCATGAGATGCAAGTTACTCTAATTATTCCCATGGTTCTTATGACCCCACATAACATCATTGCACCTCACCTGTTTTTTTTTTTCTTCTGTAGCCAATATGCAAGATTAAGTAGGACACATTTATATTTATTTCATGAGTCTGTGATTTTATTGCTGTTGTTACCCAACTAATGCAGGTTAGCACCCTTTGATGTCTCCAGAGGTGGTCTCTCGGAGTTTCTCTGGATGGAAAAAACTCATTACAATGAGCCTGCCCTTGGTGCGCAAGCATCCAGTCTCTCTAGTCCCATCCTTGACACCTTTCTGGCCTGGTATGCCTTACCAGAGCCTTTGAGAAACCAGAGTCAGCTTCATGCCACAGTTGGAAGCCTTGAGTGGAGATAGAGTCCACCTCTATCTCTAGGGTTTTGTTTTTTGTTTTTGTTTCCCTAAGACAGCAGGCTTGCTCTAAAATTTAAAGGCAAGTATTTTTTCATACTATAACTTAATAGGTTAAGTTGTAAAAGTGGTGTGTCATAGTGGGATAAAGGACCAGTTATAGAGTCAGGAAGACCTAGATTTGAGCCCTGCCTCAGACACATGCTAACTGGGTGGCCGTGGGCAAGTCCTTTAAATGTTCCAAATTTCTTTCTAAGGCTATTGGTTACATGTGGATTAATTGCTGATCTGAATTGGTGAAAGGAGTTTTTGCACTGAAGAAATCACAGAGCCATCCAGAACAACATGGCTCAGTGGAAAGAGCGCTGGGTTTGGAATAAGATGGCCTGGGTTCAAATCTTGTCGCCACTTGCTTTGGCAACAAGATTTGTAACTTTGTAATTGGTATAACTTTGGGCAAGTCACAGAATTTGAGAGTTGGAAGGGACCTTAGCGGTCTTCTAGTCAAACCCACAAACCAAAGGAATCGTGTGTCTTCTCTGGACCTCAGTTTCCTCATCTTAAAATGAAGGGGTTGTACTAGATGACCTCAAAGGTCCATTCAAGTGCCATTTTTATGATCCTATGATCTCTCTCCTTCCCCTCTGGGGGGGGGGAGTGAAAGAGCAAATAGTAGTGGCTTGGAAAACTGATATGTTTGTGTTAGCTGCTGCAATAACAACTGATTTGAGAACTTTGAAAACTGGGATTCGTATTTGAAAGATTTCACATCTAAAAGACAAAGACATTTGGTGGTGGTGGTGGGGGAGGTCATGAGTTTGAGCCCTGCCCCAGACACTTTCCAGCTGTAGGATCCTGGGCAAATCACTTAACTTTTCTGTCCTCGGGTCCTGTTAAATGGTGGTGGTGGGGTCGGGAGAAGACTGACCTCTAAGGTCTCTTTTAGCTCTGAATCTATAAACCTATGATCTCATAAGCTTCAACTGGTTAATATGCATGCTGAGTTAAGGATGCTCACTTCACACTAGGGGTGGATAAGGACTTTGGGGAAATCCCTAAGTGAATGGCATTTCTCATTTTGTAGATGTTTCCATTGACATGCCAGACCTCCTTGATATCAATCATCTCAGAGCCACAGGGTTACAGCCTGGAGAAGAAGAGCTTCCAGACATCGCCCCTCCAATTGTCATTCCTGACGACCCCAAAGGTACTTCCCATGACCAGGAAGGCGTTCTCTTTCCTTCAATCAGATGCCTCTGGTTCTCTGACAGCTTGCTGTAGGGCAGGGTCTTGATTTGCCCATTGCAGGAAATATAAAAGATGGGTAAAAGGAAGAGAAGATGCAGATGGGAGGAGTTGGTGAGATGAGCTGGTGGTGCTAGGCTGGCCAAGAGAAAAAACAGTGGTCTTTGTTGGGTGTGGTGGAGTAGGCCTGTGACACTCGGAACTGGAGGAGACGGAGGCTGCAGGATTGCTTCAGCTTGAGAGATCTGAGCGAGTGAGAGAGAGACAGAGACAGAGAGAGAGAGAGAGACAGACAGACAGAGAGAGACAGAGAGAGAGACAGACAGACAGACAGACAGAGAGAGACAGAGAGAGAGAGAGAGACAGAGAGAGATAGAGAGATAGAGAGAGAGAGAGAGAGAGAGAGTGTGTGTGTGTGTGTGGGGGGGGCACCAACCAGAGCAGGGCAGATTTTCCATGCCAGTCAGCACTGGAATTAGGCCTGTGAGTGGCTGCCACACAGCCAGACCAGGTGAGATAGTCTCATGCCAGTCTCAGAAAACAAACAACAAACGTAAAAAGCCTTCGTTTGTGTTGGTTACCTGCATTTACAGAAGCACATGAGCTCTCAGAGAACAGATGTTTTGCCACTCTTTGTCTTTGTCCCTCCACTGCCACTTGATATTGTCTTGGGGCTATGGTCTAAGGCAAGGATGGGGAACTGAGTCCTCAAAACCACGTGTGGTCTTCTAGGTCCTCCAGAGTGGCCCTTTGATGGAATCCAAACTTCACAAAACAAATCCCCTCAATAAAAGGAGGTTGGATTCCGTCAAAGGGCCACACTTGAGGACCTGGAGGGCCACATGTGGCCTCAAGGCTGCAGGTTCCCCACCCCTGGTCTAAGGAGTGTGTTTTTATTGTATGTGGAGATGTAGAGGAGCTGGTGCCATTTGGGGGGACCCCACAGAATATGTGACTTGAAGTAGGCAACAATGTGGACCGGTAGGAAGAGTCCTGTATTCAGAGTCAGAGGACCTGGGTTCGAATCCCAGCTCTGCCACTTCGTGTGACCTTGGGCAAGTCACTTCACCAGTCTAGGCCTCAGCTTCCTCATCTGTTAAATCCATGTGCCACCTTTAACATAAGAACCTGTCTTCAGAGAGCTTACAGTCTACCTAAGAAGATAAGATGAAGGCCCATATAGAATAACCAGCAAACAAGGTAATGTTCTGTGTAGCAGCATTGTGACCTCATCCATTCCAGTGGACCCGTGATTTAATTGATGCGGGTATTACTTTCAGTGATGCAGATTGCAACCCATGCACACATGACTGTTCTTTGTAACTGTCATTCATGCAAGCTTGCCATAAGGGGTCCACCCAGTGTGTTGTGCACCTTCTTCACATTTTCTTGATAGGATGAGGATGCTGTTAGAGCCTTGGGAATTGTCCATCAGCTATCCATTCTTGCTCTGTGACTTGACCATATTATTTTTGGGTCATACATTTCTTTGATGATGCCCTTTAGTCTAACTATGCACATAGAAGAAACATCAGGCGCTTAGCACAGTGCCTGATACATGGTAGGCACTCAGTAAATGTTTATTGAGTTGTTTATGGAATTGAATTGAAGAATGATTCTTATACCAACCATGATATGTAGTTGCATGGATAACTTATAGAACTCAGCCATTATAGAGTATGTGTAAGTGTGCATGTGTATGTGCATGTATACATATGTGTATGTGTATATAGACACACACACATTCAGACATATATACATGCATGTATAATGTGTTTTGCACTTACGCTGCAGATAAACAATGTTCTGAGCCCAGAATTCAACAGGAGGAGCAAAGTGGGTTGGATTGCCTTAGGAAAGCTGCAAAGAATTTTAAATGACCTAAGGTTTATCCCTAACACAAAAACCCATTTTTTATTTCTTTTAAAACAATTTTTAAAATTAATAAACATTTTTGTCTCCCCCACTACCTTCCTGCTAGCCATTAGAAAAAAGAAAAGAAAAAGAAAACTTTTGTAACAAATATGCATAGTTAAGCAAAATAATTTCCCGCTTTGGCCACATTCAAAAATGCAATCTGCATTTTGAGTACACCGCCTCTGTCAGGAGGAGGGGTAGCATTCTTCATCATTGGTCCTTTGGAATAGTGGTTGCTTGGCACATTGATTAGAATTCTTAAATCTTTCAGAATCATTTGCCTTTACATTGGTTTTGTTGTTGTATAAATTATTTCCCTACTTCTTTTCACATCACTCTGCATTAGTTCCTACAACTCTTCCCAGGTTTCTCTGAACCGTTCTGCTCATCATTTCTTATAACACAATAGTGTTTCATTACATTCATATGCCAGAATTTGCTCAGCTATTGCCCAATTGATGGAACCCCCTTAGTTTCCAGTTCCTTGCCATCACAAAAAAAGAGTTGCTATAAATATTTTTATATGTATAGGTTATTTTCCTTTTATCTGATTTTGGTATTAGCCTAGTATTGGTATCAGTGGATTAAAGGACATACATAGTTCTGTAAATTTTTGGTCATAGTTCCAAATGGCTGTCCAGAATGAATGGACTGATTCAACAGCTCCACCAACTATGTATGCCTGTTTCCCTGCAGATCTTATGACACGGGTATTTTTTTTTTTCCCCCAATCTGATGGGGGGGAGGTAGAACCTCAGAGTTTTTTTTTATTTTATAGTTTTCTAATTATTAGTGATATGGAGCATTTCAGCATATGGCTGTTAGATTTCTTAAAGGCCTATTTTTCAAACATCAATATTCTCATGTGATTTTATGGCTGTGATTGATAGAACACTGAAGTCTCTGAAGAATTTAAGTTGAAAATCACTAAAAAGGTAAATGAGAGATATATGGCTGTTCATGACTGGGCAGTAACACATTGAAAACAAGGAGCCTGGATTTTTTTCTACATTCTTAATGCAGCAAAGATTTAGTTATATAATTCTTCAAATGTTATTGGCATGTTTAGACTCTCCCTTTCCATCTCCTACAACTCCAAGTATGAAATGCAAAAAGAAGGCACTTCCGATTTACAAATAAGCACAAAATCAAGATGAAGAATTCAACAACTTTATGTACATATATACATTTTTTGTTGTTATTCAGTCATTTTCAGTCATGTCTGACTCTTCGTGACCCCACTTGGGATTTTCTTGGCAGAGATACTGGAGTGGTTTGCGATTTCTTTCTCCAGATCCTTTTACAAATGAGGAAATGGAGGCAAAGAGAGTTAAGTTACTTGCCCACGTTCACACAGCTAGGAAGTGTGTGAGGTCAGACTTGAACTCAGGAAGATGAGTTTTCCTGACTCCAGGCTTGGTGCTCTATTCATTTCATTACCTGTTCAAGATGCTTCACAGAATATTTCTGCTGACAATCATGTTTCAATTTGTAATATAACAATCTAGATCAGAGGCCAGGCCATCTAGTCTGTCTCTCCCAATTCCTTCATTTTACAGATGAGGAAAATGAGGCCCAAACAAGGGTGGAGATAAGATTATAGGATCATAGATAAAAAACTGGAAAGGAACTCAGAATCTGTTTAATCCAACATTACAGAGAAGGAAACTGAGGTCCATATAAGGGAAGGGTCGTGCTTAAGGCCATATAGGTGTTGAGATAGGTTTAGGGATGCTGGGACCCCAATTTCACAACACTTGGGTCCTGTCCAAATGAATTCGACCCAAGCCTTCTTTCAGCCAATGACAAGGTTTATTAAAGATCCGCCATATTGGCTGGACTCTTAAGGAATCAACATTTGTGAGCTATTAGCTAGATTATAAGAATCTGAGCACCTTAATGGAAACAAGATGGACCTTATATACAGAAAGACTGTGGGAGTGGTCTAGGGAGGATCTTGATGGGGGTCGACAGTAGGCTGGGGTGACTGGAGGAGGGGTCTAGGGAGCATCCTGATGGGAGTGAATGGGGTCTAGCTACATAGGGTCAAAGGTGGGAAGTAGCCAGGGGCCTTCAGGAGGTAATAGACAATAGAGAGCTAGGCTCAATTAAGGGTAACAAAGAATTGGAAGATTGGGCATAGGTGATAATAAAAGGCCAGTTGATAAGATTATGGCCTCTGGTGAACACCAAAGATTAGGCCATGTGGGAAAGTCCAGGACTTTTCCATTTTGGGGTCCAGATCCCATCCCCATCATAGGTATTAAATAGTAGGTCTAGGATGTGAACTCTAAATCTTCTAGCACACTTAAAATATCTTGATTTTAAGAAAGTTAAATTGTTTGGTTCAAGTTAAGTAAAAAGTAGGGCAGGATACAATTGATTCTGATTATATGGCACCTATAATCATCACAGGAATTAGGAAAGGGAGAAATCAGTACAGGTTTGCAGATATATAAGGTAGCTTAAGCTATTCGTGTCCCTGATGACTGTCTCTCTGGTGCTTACAGCAGAGACCTTGGTTCATAATTATGCAGAGTACTTAGAAACACTTAAAAGAGAGAAAATGTTGAGTTCATTAGCCTGTTCCTCTGAACAGCATGTTTGATCTGGCCTAAGTGCCCTAAACTAATTGTTCTCACTCATTACCATAATGTCTTTATGTATTACCATGAGGATTGTATTGTTGTTTGTATAGAATTATGGAGAGCTGTGTGGACATTTTAGGGCTTGGGCATTTTAATAAAGAATGTTTTGATATTGACCTTTTTTTCCTTCCATTTATGCATGATGGTGTGATTTGGTCTCATTTTCTCCTTTCCTCCCCTCTTAAATTTCAGATCGATTGATGAACCATTATATGGAACGTAAGTATCTCATTATTTTCCCTTCTTAGTGCTAAGATATTTTGGCTATTGAGTCTTTATTTCCCTGAATTAGTTGTTAGTGGAACGTCTCAGTACACATGCAAATGGAGCTTTTCTCTTTCAGGGAAATTTGCATTGCTGCCTCAGTTGTACGTGGGGGGATTTGCAAATTGCCAGTCAGCTGTGTCTTAGTAGTAAGCTCCTTGGGGGCAACATTATTTCACATTTTGTCTTTGTATCCCTGTGTCCAGCTCAGGGCCTGACACAAAGCAGGTGCTTGATAATGCTCGTTGAATTGAATTGAACACCTAACAGAGCTTTGAATAATAGAGTAACTATTCTAGTTTCATCTTTTTCGAGACCCCTGGCTCTATTGTCTCTTCAATGTGGTTACTCGCCCTGGGGTATGCTGGAGTCAGCTCACACTGGCTTCTGAGGACCAATTTCCATGAACATTTGCACTTCAGAAATCAGCAAATGCTACAAATCCAGGGCTTGTTTTATTGTTTTGTTGACTGGCTAGAGCAGACTTATGAAAGTGCTGGAAAAAATGCAGATTGAAGGTGAAAGGGTATCCCATGCACATATTTTTGAGAGCTGATGGTTGAACATTTACCAGCACAACCCTAGTTACTCCTTCCTGAGGTATAGATTATAACCTGTCTATGCCTGCCTATAAGCATTTATTAAGTGTCTACTATGGGCCAGGTACAGCTAAACCCTGATGATACAAAGAAAGAGCAAAAATAGTCCCTGTTCTCAAGAAGTTTACATCTGAATATTCATCCTGTGTGTCTTATCTATGGCTTGCCCATAAATTCTCTACATGTTACATTTTCTATGTTAACAACAAAATTTTTAAAAATCCACGAATATTCATTAAACATTGACTTTATATAGAGAGCAGTATGCAGATTGAGATACAGAGTTTAGATGACATACAGGCCCTGCCCTCATTGTGTTTGTAGTTTAATATTGGAGTACAGAGTCTAGTACTTGATAGAATTGTTACTTTTCTATCCATAGGACAGCAGACCTTTTTGGGGTTAAATCTAATTACTGTTGAACAAGGCATATCTCCAGTTACAAAATCCCTTCTTGGTTGAGGGAAAAGTCCATATTCCATAGTTCTAAGAAAGAGAGTTTCTGCTGAGTCAGTCTCTTTGGCACAATAAAAATTCTGGGTCCTTCTCCCCCCAACTTGTTATAACTTATTTCCACATTTTCCTTCCCCTCCTCCTAGTCATTTTAACTGCTATGCATTTGCTGTTTCTCTGCCCCTGGCATGACACCTGCAAAATTGTGGAAGTCATAGTGGTTGCCTACTTAATGTAAAATGTTGTGTGATTTCTAAATGAAAGGTTTCTACCAATTCTAAATCTCTTTCTTCCCTTACCCTTCATGAGCAGGCCAATTTCCTCTAATAGCCTGCACATAAGTAAGTTAAACAGTCCTGGAGTTCCTGGCCATGGAAGGCCTCATGTGTTCTCTGAGCAGCTCAACTCACCAGTTAAGGGGAAACTTAGATTCTGGGATTTGAGGCCTGATTTATTAAGGATTGGGATAGGGGCTGAGCTTGTGAGTTCATTGGGGTATGGTTTTCCCTGTGAGGAACTCAGACCAATGGGGGTCTACCCTTTCTCTATTTCTAGGCTTAGAGTTTCCTAGAGGTTGAGTGCCTGGAGTTACATAGCCAGTAGGTATCAGAGGTGGCACTTGAACCCAAAACTTCTTGGCTTCAAGACGAGCTCTCTCTCTCCATAAAGCCTGCAACATCTATATTTTTGCCTGATTCATTAATATTTTGAAATATATCGATTCCATTTTTAATGTTTGTTAATCTATTCCACTTTTTTGGTCCCTTCCTTGTATGAGCTAATACTCTTGAGTATTCTAAAAAAGAAATGCTTTAATTAGTCAAAGCATTTATGGTTAATTAAGAAGAAGAGCTGTTATTCACACAGGATTAAGGACTGTTTTTTCCTCCCCCTACAAAGCCGCCCTGTGGCGTATAATTGTATGAACTATTTTCATTGCTGATTTAAAGGTCTGGGTGTTTACCACTGCCATCAGTTGAACATATGGACTGCATAAGAAATTGGCCACGCAGGACTAAATCATTGTGCTGTTTATTTCAGCTCCTTTCTTCTCTTCCCCCTCCCTGGCTTGAGATTTTAGAATTTAAAATGCTCAGAGAAACAGCGTACCTAGAAGTTTGTGTTGTTCTTGTGTCTGACTCTTTGTGACCCTGTGGACCATAGCATGCTAGTGCTGCCCATGGGATTTTCTTGGCCAAGATACTGGGGCGGTTTGCCATTTCCTTCTCCAGTGGATTAAGGCAAACAGAGGTTAAGTGACTTGCCCAGGGTCACACAGCTAGTAAGTGTCTGAGGTTGGGTTTGAACTCAGGTCTTCCTGACTCTAGGCCTAGCATTCTATCCACTGAGCCAAGTAGCTGCCCAGACTGGGAGTATTTTGATCTTAATATTTTGCCAGAAAGACAGTGTGACATAATGAATAATAGGTCATCTTCAAGTCAGGATGACCTAAGTCCAAGTCATACTTTTGACACTCGCTGTGTGAGCATGGGCAAATCTTACTCAACCAGCCTCAGTTTCCTCATCTCTAAAATGAACAGAATGGGACTAGAAGGCTTTTGAGGTCTCTTCTGGTTTTAAAACCATGAGAATTAACCTTATCCTTCTTTGTCAAAATGGAAGAAGCTTTATAGATGATTTCTGAGAGGACCAGTGATTTCATCACTATCAATGCAGACAGGCGCCTTCCCTGCACATTATAGCATCAGAGAGCTACCTTAAACGCCGAGAGGTTAAGTGATTTGTCTAGGGTCACACAGCCCAGTGCCTGTCAGGGGCACGACTCAAACTCAGGCTTTCATGACTCCAAGGTCATCTCTTTATCTACTAACCACACTGCCATGATGAAGATCAAAAACTTCATTTTTAAACAAGCCCCATTTTATAGACAAGGGAGCAAAGGCTCTTAATGTTTCCTTGTTTGGAAGGGATTATTGTTTTGTGCTCAAGAGGAGGCTTTGCAGTGGATAGAATGAAAGTCTTGGAGTCAGGAAGACAACCCAAGTCTGCATCTGGCCTCACACACTCATTAGCTATGTGTGACCCTGGGCAAGTCATGTAACATCTCTGAGCCTCAGTTTCTTTAGCTGTAAGTGTATAAGGAGAGCACCTATCTCATATGGTTGTTGTAAGGGATCTAATGAGTTTAAAATATGAACTCCCTAAGATTAGGGGTTATTTCATTTTTTTTTTGTATTTGTATTACTGTTGCCTCGTATGATGCCTGGAATATAGTAGGTGCCTAATAAATTCATGTTGATTGACTAATGTGAAGTGTTCCATAAATATGAGCAATTTTTGTTGTTATTTGAAAAATTTCCACAATTCCCCATTTCATACCAGATGTACAGGTGAGGCCTAAAGAGCTATAGCGAATGGGCAGATTTTAAAAATTGTCTTTGGGTGTATGTGGTTAGGGAGCAGAAGGTGATGAGGTGGAGAAGAGATGCAAAGGGGAGTGAGAAATGGGAAAAATTCACTCTTCATGCTGGAATAGCATGTTTTGTTTTGCAGCACCAGACATTGATGAGTCGTCTGTGATGCAGTTGGCAGAGATGGGCTTCCCTCTGGAGGCATGTCGGAAAGCTGTGTACTATACTGGAAACATGGGACCCGAGGTGGCCTTCAACTGGATCATTGGCCACATGGAAGAGCCTGGTAGGTAATTTTAAAATCATGAATAATAACACTGAAGCCAATTATTGTGAAGTCTATTGCAAATATAAAGTCATTTTCTCAAAGCAGGAGTGGTTTTCAACTGTGGCTTATGCCACTTCTTTTCCCTAGATTCTGTTAAGGTTTATTAAAAAATATCCTTACAGTTTGATAGAGGTAAGCTTAGCCTAGGTAGTCAAAAAGAACAATGTGTTCTTTGTTTTACCTTTGATTCCTAATGTCCCTCAAAGGAGGAGGCTTGAATATGCTCTTCTACCATAGATTTTGCCGAACCACTATCCCTCCCTGGTTTTGGAGGAAGTGCTACTATGGGGGCCACTGCTTTTGGTGCTATCGGATTGGATAACCAGCCTCCAGAAGAAATTGTAGCCATTATCACCTCCATGGGCTTCCAGAGGAATCAGGCCATTCAGGCACTAAAGGCCTCGGTGAGTAGATGCACAGTTCTCTTCCTTTAGGACGCCTTGTTGGTCTTTCAGCAGCATTTGAGAGTTTTAAGGAACCCAAGAATAATATTCAATAATTCCTAGTTTTCTATTGGAACTCCTTTTCTCTTTTTCTGTATTCTTCAGTTCAGAAATTCCAGAAGGAAATCTCATGCTCATGAACCTCTCAGTGTTATAAATGTGGAGAATGGAGCCAGGGAGATGAAAGGAATCCAAATTCTCTCCCAGTCAGTTGGCATTTATCAGGCATCTTTTATCTGCAAAGCACTGTACTTGACGCTGAGGGTACAGAGACAAAATAGCAAAGTCTTTGTCCTCAAGGAGCTTCCATTTGCCTTCCTCTTGTGTGATACTGGACAGAGTGATTACTCATTTCTGATATTTTCTGGAAATAGGACAATTTAAGTAAATATTGAATTTGGAACATCTAACATTTTAGATTAATTTCCCACTAAACAAATACTTATTAATCTTCTGTTTGTTAAGGGAATAGAATAAAAATCCTCTTTTCTATCATCTCCCAGTAGCTTCATCTTTTTTTTTTTTTTTGTTAAGGCAATCAGGGTTAAGTGACTTGCCCAAGGTCACACAGCTAGTAAGTGTCAAGTGTCTGAGGTTGGATTTGAACTCAGGTACTCCTTACTCCAAGGCTAAAGCTTTATCCGCTGCATCACCTAGCTGCACACTCCCCCTCCCCCACCCCGGTAGCTTCATCTTAAGAAACTATGTCAGAAGAATTTTACGCAGTTCATTTAAGGTTCCAGTCTTTATTCCTTATGACAACTGAGTGTGAAGGAAATCTGCATTCCCAGGAATTCCACATTCCTATCTTAAAACATTTTAAGGGATGTTCCATGAAAGAGGGCATAGACTGGATTAAGTGCATAGGAGAACTTGGAGTGGCCCTGTGAGATTCCTAGCCAGGAGCACTGGGTGGAATGTCACAAAAAGGCGAATTTGAGCTTTGTGAGCAGGGAAAACTTTCCAACAGTTGGAAGTGTCGTTGAGTTTTTTAGAGCAGGGATTCCTTTTTGGGTATGGGTTCGACCACAAGGCTGCCGAGGTCCCCTTTAGCTCTGAAGTTCTATGATGCCTGGTGACTCAGTGCCACACACACATTCCGCTTTTTGGTATATATCTTCTATCCCTAAACTGTGATCCTGTGATCCTCGGCTTGTCCAGTTGGCTGCCCAGCTCTGCTGCAAAGTTCAGGGTGGATCTTAGCAGTTGAAGTTCACTCTTTCCTTCCTTAGTAGTAGGAGTGGGAGGAGGAGGAGGAGGAGGAGGAGGAAGAGAAGGAGGAGGAGTTATAGCACTAGTCATTGTAGTAGTTGTTGCAGTAGTGGTAGTACTGGTTGTAATAGTAATACTAGTTGTTATGGTAGTAGTTAGTTGAAATTGTAATAATTGTAATAGTAGTTGTAGTGCTAGTTGTAGTTGTAGTAGTAGTACTACTACTCATAGTGGTTGTAGTAGTAGTAGTAGTTGTACTGAATACTAGTAATTGTAGTTTAGTAGTAGTAGTAGTAGTAGTAGTTATGGTAATAGTAAACTGCAGTAATAGTTATAATAATATAAAATAGCAGTGCGTATTTATATAACATGTTAAGATTCTTGAGATTCTTCACTTACAATAGCACTATGAGGTGGGTAGGAGAGGCAACTATTATCTTTATTTTCACATGAAAAAACTGAGGAAGTGCAGTGACTTACCTATAACCACATAGTCATGTGTTAGAGTGAGTACTAAAAGCAAGTGTTTAACCTAGGTTTTCTGACTCAGAGGCTGATTTAGTTTTTTTTTTCCTGACCTGGCTTCTCCTTTACTTGACCTTCCCAGAGCTGACCATCGATCCCCCAGCAACCCCCCCAACTCCCCCAATATACCCTATCTACAGAGCTAGGTGTCTTAATGGACCTAGAGTCAGAAAGACTTGAGTTCAAATTCAGCCTCCGATACTTACTATCTGTGTGACCTTGGGCAAGTCACTTTTCCTCTGTTTGTTTCAGCTTCCTCAACTGTAAAATGGAGAAAATGACAGAATTTATCGCCTAGGAGTTTTGTGAAGATCGAATAAGATAATATTTGAAAAGCACTTAGCATAGTGCCTGGCACTTAGTAGGTGCTCTATAAGTGCTAGCTCTTGTTATCATTACGGTTATTATTCCTGGATTCAAAAAGACCTGAGCTCAAATCCCACCTCAGACAGTTAATAGCTGTGTGATCCTGGGCAAGTCATTTAACCATGGTCTGCCTCAGTTTCCTCAACTATAAAATAGGGATAACAACACCAGCTATTTCCCAGGGTTGCGATGAGGATAAAATGAGAGAATACTTGCACATTGTCTGCACTTAATATAATGCTTGTTTACTTCCCTCCCTCCCTCCTGTGGTTCCCTTTATATCTAAGAACAAATATAAACTCATCTGGTTGGCATTTAGAGTTCTTCATGGTCTGGAATGAAATCCACCTTTTTAGGCTTATTATGCAGCATTTACCTTCATGTACGGTATATTCTTGTTAAACAGACCTTCTTGCTGTTTTCCATTTATGACCTTCCATGTTCCCTATTGGTGCCTTTTCACTGACTGTCTCCCATGCCTGAAATTATCTCCCTCCTCACCTATATCACTTTAAGTTCCTTCAAGACTCAGCTGAAGTGTCCCTTCTACATGAAGCCTTTCCTGATCCTTCCTGGTTGCTTGTGACCTCTCCTCTCCTCTTCTTACCCTCCTCAAACACCTTGTATTTATTTTGTTTGTATCTAGAGATGTGTATGTTGTTACGCCTGATAGAATGTAAGCTCCTTGAGGGCAAGGACTATTTAATTTTTGTCTTTATAGGTCCAGTTCCTGCCACATAGTAGGTGTTTAATAAATGCTTTGCTTTTTGCTTTCTTGGTGCCCATTAAAGCTTTGGATTGTGGAATTTCCTGGGTGATGATAAATGTATGGTATGGGAGATTGAAAGGAAGTGAAGTCATCACTTCAGGAAGAAGCAATCTGCTTAGTTACTCAAGGGTAAATGATGAGTGATGGAGGCAGAGATACCTGTCTCTAGCTCCCCTCCCTTCCTTCTAGCACTTAGAGGAGGCTCTTAAAATGCATAGATAAGACTTACCATCTGTTTCAGTTCAGAGCTTCATGGGGATTTTCCAGGTGTATTGATGATTATTGGTCTAATTTTTACAAAGGGATGCATTTAGGTTAATGCTGCTGTCCTGTGGGGCATTCAGTTATCCGTTGTCAGTATTAGCATATACAGTGATGAACCAAGAATGGTGTGGTCATTGCAATGCTGACATGGTGCTGGGACTCATTTAGCAGGGAATCTAATTATATAGCTTTTGCTCAGGAGACTCACAGAGTGCCTCTTGAACATGCATTTCATCCATAGAATTCAAGTTGTTGCTTGAAAGCACTTAATGCTGATGACCCTTTCACCCTCTCTGTCAGTCATCTTGTCTTTAAAGGTCATGCCTGAAGGTTCAAAGGAGTGGCAGACATTATAGCAATATTTCTGTATCTTTCAATAGAACAACAATTTGGAACGGGCCCTGGATTGGATCTTCAGCCACCCTGAACTGGAAGAGGATAACGAGTTCATCGCCCACATGATGGAGATGGAGAATAATGCCAATGCTAACATTATTTCAGAGTCCAAGCCAGATGGTCCTAGAGTGAGAGACGGATCAGGAAGTAAGTTGTCTTCTCAGACATGACGAAAACTGGAAGAGGATAACTAGCATATTGGATGACAGAGTCGAGACCCCAAAAGATCTAGACAGGCTAGAATGTCAGGCTGATTCTAATAAGATGACATTTAAAGGGATAAATATAAAGTTTTACACTTGGGCTCAAGAAATCAACTTCCTAAGTATGAGATTTGAGAGGTATGGTTAGACCTCAATTTTTCTGAAGAAGACCTGAGGGATTTAGTGGACTGCAAGCTTAACAGGAAGCAGATGTAGGAAAAGGTAACCAAAAAAACTAATGTGACCCTGGACATTAGGAAGGACATTCCTAAACTGGAAGGGTCTCAGAAAAGGACCTTCCCTCCTTCCTTCTTTTCTTCCCTCCTTTTCTTTTTTTCCCCCCTCTCTTTCTTCCTTTTTCCTTCCTTTTTCCTTCTTCTTTCCTTCCCTTCCCTCTCTCCTTTCATCCCCACCTTCCTTTCTCTCCCTTCTTCCCTCTTTCCCTGCCCCCCTTCTTCCCTCCCTTCTTTTCTTCCTTCTTTTCCTCTCCCTTCCTCCCTTCCTCCTTTCTTCCTTCCCTCCCTTCCTTCTTCCTCATGTCCTTCCTTTTTTACCTTCCTTCCCTCCTTCCTTCTTTTCTTTCGTCCTTCTTCCCTCCTCCTTTTTTCATTCCTTCCTTTCTCCCTCCCTATTTCCCTTTCTCCTTCTTCCCTTCCTCCCTCCTTCCCATTAGGTTAGGGTGGGTCCTGAAACTGCCTTCAAATAATTTAGAACTGTCATGTGGAAGAGGCATTATGCTTGTTCTGCTTGTCTCCAGAAGGTAAAACCAGGAGCAAACAGGTGATGTTGCAAAGAAGCAAATTGAGTCTTGTCAGGAACAGCTTCCATAACTTCAGCTCCTCTCTGATGGACCGGGGCTGCCTCAGGAAGAACTCCCTGACTATACTGGCTTTGGGACCATGGACAATTCACTTACCTTTTCCATGCCCTAAATATCTTTTTAATGTACAATGTATAGTGTATTGGGTTACATTTTCTGTTCTGGCATGTAGATAAATATGTGCTTTGATATCAATATACACGGAACAATCATATGCATAATATAAATGGAAAGTAATGGAATCCAAGGTGGTTACATACAGTTAGGGAGGGACAACACTAGGAATTGGGGGAGAATCAGGAAAGGCTTTGTATAGAAAGTGATGTTTGAGTTGTGACTTGAGAGAAGTGAGAGATTCTTTGAGGCTGAATTGAGGAGGAAGTATATTCCACTGGAAAATATGGAGATGAGAGATGGAGTGTCATGTGTGAGAAACAGAGGAAAAAACCAGTTTGGCTGGATCAGAGATTGGAGGAAGGGGAATGACACATATGGAGAATGGAAAGATAGGGTATGGCTCATTAACTTTAAAAATCAAATAGGAGTTTAACTTTGATCCTGGAAGCAATTGGGAGCTACTAGGGATTATTAGGTAGGGGATTGACATAGTCATATCTTTGTCAGCTGTGTGGAGGATGGACTGGAATGGACAGAGACTTGAAGGTGGAAGACCAATTACAAGGCCATTGAAATATTAAATAAGAGATGATGAGGGTCTAAGTTCAATTGTTAACCATGTGAGGAGAGAGAAGAGTTTATCTATGTGAGAGACATTATAGACATAGAAATGACAAGGTTTTACAACTGAGTGTGTATAGGTGTGATGAGGGGGAGGGAAAAGCTGAAGATAATGCTGAGATTATAAACCTCAGGAGATTGGAAGGATAATGGTACATTGTGATGTAGGAATCTTACTTGAGCCAATGTGAATTTTTGATGTGGAGCTAGAAGAAGCCAGGAAATTTGTCTTAAAAGATTTTCATTGATATCTATTTTAACATTGACTAAAATTTCTTTTGTGTGACTCCCCCTCCCCTTCCCAGAGAGCCATTCTATATAACAAAGAGGAAATCTCTGTCTTCATATGAAATATGCCTTTTTTCTCTGATTGACATAGTTTTCATTCAGTAGTTAGGCAGGGCTGGGACATATTCCTACTGAATTTTATATTCACTTCAGGGCTTTTGTGTTACTCACTGCAAATCATTGGTCCTCTTGCCCTGCTGAAAACCTTAATGGTCAAAGGCTTTCCTAATCCATTTTGCTGGATTTATTACATATACTATGGCCCATCAGCCCATTGCTTAATCAATTTTTCTCTAATGGATTTCCCTTTAGAGATTGGGCCTTCTTGAACAGGGACTTAAACTCTTCAAACCACAAGATGGAGCTGGTGTAAAGCAGAAAGAAGACTGGAGGCAGGTAGAATGCTCTTATAAGTGTACCCAGTAGGCTGCTAAAGTGCTTTATTTCTTCTGAGGATGGTAGATGGCACCAACAAGTCTCCTTCAGGTTTTTACTAGTTGACTTAGGTCAAATCCCACCTTCTGCAAGAGGTCTTACCTAGTTCTCCCCACTGCCAGTGTCTTTCCTCTGAGATCACTTTCCACTTACACTATAAATAACTTGTATATACCTAGTTGTGTCCATGTTGTCTTTGTATGCTCTTTGGTGGAAGGGACTGTGTTTCTTGCCTTTCTTTGTGTCCCCAGTGCTTAGCACAGTGCCTGACATACAGTAAGCATTAATGAATGCTTATTGATGGCAATGATTACTTTCTTTGTGACTTACTAGGCTTATAGCTGGCTGTAGATGGAAAGTGCTGTGGTGTAAAAAAAGCGGTAGATTTAGATTCAGATGGATCTGGGTTCAGGATCTGGTGATATCACTTCTTAGCTGAGTGATTCCAGGCAAGGCACTTAACTTCAGCTTTACTTATCTATAAAATGGAATAATAATACTTGCTTTGCCTATAGTTGTTATAAAGACTAAGCAAAATAATGTACGTAAAGAGCTTTGTAGCATTAAAATGTTGTAGGTGTCCTACTGTGTATCTCATGTGCTCTACTGAATTGAGAGTTGAGCACTTCAAAAAGTTTCACTAATCCTTTAAATCCCCATGGTCTTTGTGTTGGAAGGCACTCTGGGTCAAATCTCATGAAAATGAACACTGCAGGACGTCCACAGCTTTCCATTTCCATTCCATTGCAGAGCATTTAGTAAGTGGGTAGGATGTGCCAAGCACTGTGCTAAAGACATACAAAACAAAAGCAAAGACAGTTGTTGCCCTTGAACTTACATTCTAATAGGAAGAGAATGGGGGGGCCAGTGGTTAGATAAGAGAATTTTGGTCCAGAACATTATAGGTATATCATCCGGAGTGGAGTCATTAGGGAATTGAATTAACATACCCTTTCCAGGAGCAGTGGCAGAGATGATTCCATTGTGTGTGTGTGTGTGTGTGTGTGTGTGTGTGTGTGTGTGTGTGTGTAGGGAGGACTGAACTGGTGAGAAGTTGGCCAGGGATTAGGGAATGAAGCAAAGCATAGCTTGGTGTGGCCTGAAAGAGTGGTTTGGTGGAAGCAATCACTAATCAGAATAATGAGAGCATTCTAGGAAGACTCAAAGAAAACACCAAGGTTACAAACCTTGGAGGCAGATAGACTGATCTATTGTGGTTAGAGGCCTTTCAGCACCATGGCCAGCATTCAGAGCAGGGCTTAGTGGGGTGTGATTTGGTCCTGAGGCAATGGGTGTTACCAAGTCACTCTCTGCAGAGCAGAAATGTTGGGAGGTGGGTGAGGGGTCACAGTTACTGGGTATATTAAAGAGGAGGAAGAGGTGTTCCAGTCCTGCATGTTTAATTAGGTTAGTCCATTTTGATGTCCTTTATCCAGGTAAAGCTCTGGGACAGGTACCAGTGCATTATTTGGGTTTCCCTAAGAAGATGATTCTTTGACATGTGTGTGCCTTTATGTCTCTTCATCAATGAAATGACTAGAAGAGAAATAACTGGATGAGAGATTATGTATTTGTGTGTCATTCCCTCAGGTATGTAGGGTCTTATGACTGGCACTTGGTAGCATTATTGCAAGGAGGTGGGAAAGGTCAATAAAGGTAGAGAAATACAATCACTTCATACCAAGACTGTGCTTGGGAGCCTAGGAATAGCACTTCTACTGGCATACGTAGAATCTAGCCCTCTTGTTGCCACAGTGGTAGTGCAACACCCGTAAGCTGAAAAGATCCTCTGAGTTGAACCAGCAATTATTCTTAAATGAGTCTTGACCACTGGCCATGGTGCTGAAGCATCTCTAATCCCCAAAGTGCTAATAGAAGTCTCATAGAAGTGACCTCAAATGCCATACTTATTCAATTTTGAATTATATATTTTTATCCTGCCTAGTAGAAAGATATCTAATATTTATATAAATTTATTAGGCAGAGAATATAATAATTCACATAAAATTTTATTAAATTTTACTTATTTAAAAGCTTTCTAGGAGAGGGGCAGCATAGACTGGGAAAGAAGGGACCATGGGACTTGGAGGGCACAGCCAGGAGCTGAGAAGGCCTCAGGAGATGAGCTGTACAAGGTGAGATGAGACTTTTTTGCAGCTCAGAGTCAGGGGGATAGGGTCCAGTACATTGCAATATACCAGAGAGAAGATTTATGAGGCAACACAATCCTTGTACTGCCTGTTGTGAATGCCATAATTATTAATCTGGTTTTAATTATGTAATTGGCAGGGCTGTGCAAGGTAAGTCAATAGAATTGCTGTAAGTCAAGGACTGCCTGAATTCCAAACAGTAGGAGACAGAGAAACTCATTCATCACTTCTAGTTTCTTTCATCAGGATCTGGCATTTTCTTTAGATGGATGGTTGCTGAGTTACTGTGATTTTTTTTTTCTTATGAGAGGTAGTTGTAACTTTTTTTTTTTTTGCTGGGGAAGATAAGGGCTGGTGAAGGATAATTGCTGCTTGCTAGCAGAACAAAGAATTGAAAAGAGCTTAGCTAGGGCATAGTTTCACAGACTGCTCTTCATGGAATATGAGTAGAATACTCTGAAAAAAGCAAGAACTCAGGAACTTTACTTAGAGAGCTTCTCATAGACAGCAAGGAAAGATGGCATTTATTTTTATGAAATTCTTCATTGGAGGGAATTCTCAGTACTAGATCAAAAAAAATTGTCAGTATGGGCTATCTGCATGATCACAAGAAAGGTCTCCTTGTGAGGACCCCTTTCTGTGATGACATTTATGATGGTGGGATTTTGTGTGTGCACCTAGAGCAAATGCCTGCCCCTTATGGCTGGAGAACACCTTTGGCTTTCAGAGATGATAGTTTCCTGTTTCTTGCTGGAGAGTGGAGGGAAAGGTAGCAGAGAAAGGTCTGCCACTTTGCACTCCTTTCAGAGGCAGCTCTTTAAGTTTCTTAGAAGCAACAGGAAAAGCGGGGAAGGGTAGAAAGTGAGGCATTCGAATCTGGCCTTTCAGGGCTTCCACCATTTGCAAAATGTGTTTCTCTGTTGCACTTACTGCAAGCTTTTTTTTTTTTTAAGAAGGCACTTGATTACTAATGCAGTTAAAATGTGATTAGGTTGTGATTAGTCAGAACCTCTTCTATGTTATTCTAGTCACATCTGTGTACTGGTTGTAGACTTTCTTAGTTAAAAGGGGAGCTTTCCAGTAAGGGAGGCGAATGCAGAATTCCTTTGCATAATGTAGGAGCCTGTTTTCAACAGATACCAGAGATGCAGCTTGCAGGGAGATTGATGGTGGTGGGGGAGGTCAGTTCTGAAATGAGGCCAGACCCTGATTCCTATTTGCAGAAAAGGGGGAGGAGGGGAAAACCTGATCATTCCATTATTATATTACTAGCATGATTCCTCCTGGCCTCTTGTGTGGGAGAAGGACATTTAAAATTCAAAACTGGGGATATGATATTTTTCAGTGTTTGGAATCAGTTTTACCAGGTCTATCCTATGAATTTATGATTGATCTTTCAATGCTGAGAAGAAGAAAAAGATGCTCTGATGGCTTTGTGATCTCTCATAGTGGGTAGTCACTGCAGTGGTTTAGATTACAATCTATCCATGTCTCTGATCCTATTCAGTTCTTGTCCATGGCCTCCCACAAATCACCTACAAGGGGTCCACCATGAATGCTGTGGCCCTTTCTCCAAATGTTTTCTCCCTGTATGGATATCAGTGGTGCACACAGGCTGTCTATGAGTTACCTCCTGCTCTTGCTATATGACTGGTACATATTTTTTTTAATGGTTGTGCATTTGATCACATCCTTAAATGACTTGTCCTAGGTAATTAATTACTCATTGATAATATGCTGCATCTTACTCAGTACATCCATTGCCTTTTGGGTGACTAATAGCTTTAATTCCTCAGAGATTGTGTTATTCTGTGACTTGTAGAATAACATTGTTGGAGGAATGTAGTCCTATATTTTATATAGTATTTATATGTAATATTCATTATATATTAAAATTATTTTATTACATAAACCAAATTATCAATATCTTTTGTTTACATTATTTATATTTCCTAACATACCCCTCTCTAATATTCCTCTCAGATTCTTCTTTTAAAACAAAGAATAGGAAAGAGTTTAGGAAAACTAACCAAGACCTCAACTAAACCAAATGCTGTGAATTCATTAGATTGTGAGCTCTTTAAGGGCAGGAACTGCCTTTTGCCTTTCTTTTTATCCCCAGTGATGAGCACAGTGCTTGGCACACAGCAGGCACTTAATAAATGCTTATTGACTAACTGACTATTTCATACTCACAGTACCCCACCTCACCAAAGAAAGAAGGGAGGTTCCCTTTCATATCTCTTCTTTGGGGTCAAACTTGTTCATTATAATTCCATAGCATCGAGTTTGATTTTTGATGTTGGTCTTTCTATTTACATTGCTGTATATATTGATAATCTGGCTTTACTTACTTCACTTTGCATCAGTTCATATAAGTCTTCTCATGCTTCTCTGTAGTTGTCATTTTCATCATATTTTTTGCAGATTCGTCTTACATTTTAAAAACATTTAACTGTTTCTGATATTCTTAAGTTTTAAGTAGATATTCAATCATTTATAATATTGGTGAAGAGGATTGTCCAAGCTTAGAGCCCAGGGTGGTAGTCTTGAGTTTCTGTACCCTAGACTTTCTGCATATGACCACAAAACAGTAATACCCTGGACAGGTCTTGAAAACATGGGCCCCCATTCTCTTAAAAACAAGTTGAAATAGTGAAGCACTTAATGGAAAGGGCATCCCTGAGAATCTAGGCTAAGTTTCTAGGAGACCTCATGTCCAAAGGCAGAGCGGTGTACTGGATGGTCTTGGAGTCAGAAAGACCTGGATTCAAATTCAGCCTCTGAAACATTCTGGTTGTGTGACTCTGGGCAAATTACTTATCTTCTCAGCATCCCAGGCAACTTTTTAAGGCTATAAGTTACAGAAAAGTGGTAGATCTGCATAAGTGTAGGGAGAAATCACTGGGAGTTCCCTACACCAGTGAAATTACAGGGCCAAAAACTCACATTAAGGTGTGAGCTCCTTAAGGGCCTCTGGAGTATTCCACATTTTTAAAGAAGAATCCTTGTGAACCCAAGCAAGTCTCTCTTTGATGGAAGTTAAAAAAAATAAAACACAAAGCAAAGTGAAAAATAACTCAATGTGAAGGAAGATGCTTTTGAACAAGGGCCAACATATAACAGCAGAACTGTGCTTCCTGACAGTCTGTTCTACCACTCCTGTTTTTTTTTTTTGATGACTTACTCCACTTATAAGTTCGAATCTCTAAAATTCTGTTTTTCCATCAGAGCTTATGATGTGTGTGTGTGTGTGTGTGTGAGAGAGAGACAGAGACAGAGATACACACACACACACACACACACACACACACACAGAGACAGAGAGAGACAGAGAGAGAGAGAGAGAGAGAGAGAGAGAGAGAGAGAGAAAGGGAATTATGCCATGGGCCAGTAGAGCTGGCATGGCCATTTGTGAGCAGGATCATTTGTAAGCCAGGGGTTTAGAAGTTGGGGCTGTCTTATTTTGTTTTTGTGCCTGCTACAGGATGTCCCAAAAGACTAAGTGTGGTTTTGAGCTTTAGTGGTTATTTTGAAAACTAATATTTCTAGAACTATTTTAAAGCTTTAATAGCTCAAAACTGCAATAAGGTTTTTGGGACACCCTGTACCAAGTGGGGAAGATTAACAGAGTAGAGATATCTCTTTTAAGTGAGGAACTGCCCTGCCAAAAGAAATTAATCACAGTTTATGCCCTTGGCTTTTTTTTTCAATCTGGACCTGTGATTTTATTGGTGTAGTGAATTCCCAGTGTGAAAACTCCCTTTACCAGTGCAGATCAGTAACTATTCTGTACCTTATGGTCTTAGCGAGTTGTGAGAGACACTGAGAGATAAGTTGACTTGCCCAGCGTCACATAGCCAGTATGTGTCATATGTGAGACTTGAAACAGGCCTTCTTGACTCAATCCCTCTTTCCGTCCACTGTGCCTTGCAGCTCTGGCTTTAAGTATATAAATAAATATCTAGATGAGGAAGGAGAACGGGGTGCTCTCAGCTGTGTGTGTGTGTGTGTGTGTGTGCGTGTGTGTGTGTGTGGTGATGTGGCTTCCTTGATTGATCTGTTTTGATTTTGTTTTGGGGCACAGAGGTACATGAAGATCTCTGGCACCTGTGGAAGTCTTGGAAATCAGCTGAGCTACTGTCTCCTCATTGGGGCTGTCTTCTAGCAGGGCTTCTTGAATAATGCATTTGATGGTTGCTGGTATCGATAAACATTGTTAATTTTAATTACATGACTTAGATTTATGCCAAGGAAGCATTTTCCTTTTAATTAGTTTGCTTTTATGATTGTCTGAGTGTGCCTGAGGTTTTGAACCAAAATGAGAGAAAATGCATCTTGGGCTCACTGTATCATGCTTTTGATGTCCAGTATTGGGTCTTTTAAGGCTTGACTGGCCTTGGGGCTTGTCTGCCTGGCATCTTAGGTGATATTTGACTGATATAACCAGCCACAATTCAGGTGCTTTGGCACATCAATGCTGACCCTTCACCATGTGCTGTTGACAGCTCAAATGTAACTTTCTGAAGGAGGGCTTTCTTGGTTGCTGTAGCTATCAGTGCCTTGTTACCTAAGATTGCCTGGTGTCTGTTCTGTCGGAATATTGTATGTACCTATCATATATAAAGCCCTACACTAGGCACTCTGGGGAATATAGAAGTACAGTCCAAGACTCAATGGAATCTAATAAAGTAGCTAGATGTATACATGTTATTTACTTTGTTAGAGTGTAAGTTCCTTGAAGGTAGAAGTTATTTCACTTTTTTTTTGGTATCACAGATCTCTATCTTCCCTTTCCCTCCTCTCTCTCTTTTTCTCTGTCTGTTTCCCTGACTCTCTGTCTTTGTCTCTCTCTGTCTCTATCTCTCTGTCTCTGTGTCTCTGTCTCCCTCCCTTTTAGAGGAAGATCGCCACAGGGTGTATGTATATACATACACACACATACATACATACATACATACATACATACATACATACATACATACATACATATATATATACATATACACACACATACATGTGTGTGTGTGTATACATATTTGCCTATGCAGATATGACTTTTAGTTTGATCTATGTCTTGGTAGTTTATGCTACATTTATTTCAATTCAGGTTGAATTTAGAATCATTCAGATTGATTTTTTTTGTCTGTTTTGTGGGCATGATAAGTCACAGTCTGTGGCTGTTTAAGAATTGCATTACCCTAATTTAAAAAATAAGGAAATTGAAGCTGTGAGACATGAATTGGCTTGTGCATTGTCATACAGCTAGAAAGTGCCTAAGTGGGCTTTGAAAGCAGATATCCTAACTGATTCCAGGGCTCCTTCCAATATGTTACACACCTCTCATAAGAGAGTGGCATTGGGGGGGTGGTGGTAATGTTGAATGTCTATAGAAACCCATGTGATCTCTTAAGTATTCCATAGTTTCATGAAAAATGTAGCTAGAGGTGACTTCTGGAGATGTTGGTCCTTCAATCATATTTATCCCCCCTTCCCTGCCTTTTTTCACAGGATATGAGCTATTTGGGTTCATCAGCCACATGGGACCGTCCACCATGAGTGGCCATTATGTTTGTCATATCAAAAAGGAAGGCAGGTGAGTCCATCTTGGAAAAGAAGAAAAGGGCTTAGCTCTCAGAAAACTGGCTCTGGCTCAGCCAGATAGCATTCATTATTGGACACTATTGGTTATTTAGTGAAAATGGATTTTTAGCACCTTTTCTTATCCATGATGCTTAATAATGATGATGATGATGATAGTATTTATATAGCTTTTTAAGGTTTTCAAAGTGTTCTATTTATGTTTTTTCAACCCTCTGAGGTAGGTGTTATTCTCTACTTTACAGTTGAGGAAACAGAGGCAGACAGTGATTAATGATCACACAGTTAAGTGCCTGAGACAGGATTTGAAGTCAGGTCTTTCCAAATCATCAGGGCATTAAAATGGGTCCAGAATCTCAAAGATTTTGCCTGTAGAGCACAAAGTCTAGTGGGTTCTCCCAAGCTGGTCAGGTTTCTAGGAAGGCCAGCATGGCTAAGTTTGAAGATGCTTATCATCAGGTTGGTACCAGGATGACCTATTTTTTGGTCACTGCAGCTAAGACCAGCTTCTAAGAGCTAGAAGGGTTGTAAGTACCAACTCAGATGGAATCACAGATAAAGATGATCCTACCAGTCTTGCCTTGTGTATACTTAAATATCCTCTGTGCTCTGTCAAATGGCCTTGGAGGCTTGGAGCTGGTCTTGGAATGGGACTGCCCTTGGCAAAGGCAAAGATGGCAGCCAGAATAGCTCCCATTTTCAAAGCTCTGTGAGGTTCGCCTCTGACACATACTTGCTGTCTCTTGGTCCTCCATGAGAATTCCATGAGTATTGGGTTAGATGGCTGATGAGGTCCCCCCAAAGCTTGAGAGTGATGATCCTTTTACCTGGGTTCAAATCCTGATTCTGATGTAGGACCCGGGCAGGTCCCCTAATTTCCCTAGACTTCAGTTTCTTTCTATGTAGAATGAAGAGGTTGGACAAGGAAGTCTGAGATCTCTCCCAGTTTTAAATCTGTGCTCATTTTTCCCATTACCTTCTGTCGTATAAATGTCAGCAATTATTGTTGTGTGAATAATAATTCTTAGAGGAAAAAAGTTCTGATTCTAATTGACTGTAAATGCATCCATTGATTCTATGTTTTCCTTGCAGATGGGTGATCTACAATGACCATAAAGTGTGTGCCTCAGAAAGGCCTCCCAAAGACCTGGGCTACATGTACTTTTACCACAGGATATCAAGCTAGGCCTCCGATATATTCCTTGCCCAGAAGATGCCATATGCCTTCATAATTTGCCAAAAAATTTTAAAAAATTAAAAAAAAAGAAGAGAGGAAGAAAGACAAAGGAAAAAAAGTTAGGATTGCCAAACACCTAGGAATCCACGTGGTATTTATAGTTTAATTAAAGAGCCCCTTGGCTTTTTAATGCCTTCTGGAGTAGTAGTCGGCAAATTTCTCTTCTGTCATCCTAGACGGCTGATTGTTTTCTTTTGGTAAACATCCAAGGAAATGATTTTCAGAAGCTTCTGGATTGCCAGGTGGGCTAGCTGCCCCAAAGCCAAAAATATGAAAGGGCTTTGCAGTGAATTCCAAGCTCTCATTGGGCTTTGGGGGCCCAGAATGACCGTTAGAGATCTTCACTGAAGCCAATTCATGTTTCCCACTGGCAGGGCCCTGCTGGATCCTAAGAAAGAGCTCCATATTACCTCATATGGAAAAAATAGAGGTGATCTCACATTGGCCTTAGATTTGACCCCACTCCCTCCCCTGCCTAATCACAGATAATAAATTCTGATCTATCTATATGTAATATATTAGAAGATCTGCCATGAAAATATTTTAAATTTGAGTCAAACCAATGTTCATAACCTAATATTGTGTGTGTGTGTGTGTGTGTGTGTGTGTGTGTGTGTGTGAGAGAGAGAGAGAGAGAGAGAGAGAGAGAGAGAGAGAGAGAGAGAGAAAGAGAGAGATTATCTTGTACAATCCACTTGAAATTCAATGGTTGAGTTATTTTAAATACTGAACCATTTGGTATTGGGTGTGGCCGAAAGAAGCATCCAAGCCTTTGAAGGGATCTATACCTCAGGAACAATCAGAACTCAGCTTTCCACTTAGATTTCAAGAGTGAAGAGGGGTGTGTCCATTTAGCTGCTATGAGTAATTCCCCTGAATAAGTGACACCCCAGCCTCCACCACCATGCATTCTTAGCATGCTCTGGTGCTTTGCCCAAGGTGGTGAATTGTTTCAAGTCTTGCCAAAAGCGTAGGCCACATTTCCTAGTGAAGTGGCTAATTGATCCTCATCAAGTTTTCTGGTGCATCCTCACAGGTCAGCTCCCCAAGACCTTGCAGGGCCCACCCTCAGGCCAATTGTCATAGCCCTCTCTGCCAGAACATTTCACCAGCCTTTTTTCCCTATGTTTTCTGGGTCCCTCTTCTATTCAATTGCTCTCCCTTTCTTTCCCCTGGCCTCTTTTCTCCACTTATCTGTTTTGGCCAGCAGAGATCATGGGAAACTTTTGGAAGGCAGAGTGAATTCATTGGTTGCTATATTATGAAAAGATCAGTCTGATTATTTCCATAGGTCAGTATTTGATTAGCAGCCTGGTATCAGAACAGAACCTTTGCGACTATTGGAATTGCTATCAACATCATGTGAAACTTGAACTTTTTCTCATGTTCCCTCTGCCTTGCCCCAAGTTTCCGAGGATATTTGGTGTTTATACTATTCAATGAATTTCTTACTCCTCCAAGTGAGTCGGGATTGATTGTTCTGGATAAAACTTGAGTCCAACTGTATAGTGTGCTGAATTAGAAACAGCCTTTTGGTAATCAGGACCCAGATGTTCTCAAAGGAGGACAGTAACAGTGTGGATCATAGGATTGGAGATTTAGAATGTGGAGGGAGCTTAGAGGTCATCCAGTCCAACATCCTTATTTTACAGAATGGAAAACTAAGGCCAAGAAAGATGATGTGACTTGCTTCAAGTCGCACAGCTCTTAAGTGGTAGTACCTGGATTGGGCTCCAAATCATCAGATTCCAAGTCCAGGGTCCACCATGCTGCATTTCTATGGTGAAATGAGAAAAGCACAACAGGCAAAATGTCAGGAGCCCCAGACTCTGCCCTGTACTGACTGAGTGATCTTGGGCAAATACTTTCACTTTCCTGCACCTTACTTTTCCTCCTGTATCAAATGAGGAGAAGAATGATTTCCCTCTGTGGTTTGAGGGAGGGTGAGATGAAATGATAGTTGTCTTGGTACTTTAAAGTGACAAGCCTCTGCAAACATTAGGTGGCATTGTTAGCTCATGATGGGATCCCTCTCCCAGTCGATAGCTTCTTTGACTTGAAAAATATCAATTAAAATTGGATAGATGGAGAAAATGCCTTCACTTTCTCTATCTGACTTCTTGGTCTAGAGAATGGTGCAGATCTTTAGTTTTAGAGGTAGGTGGCACAAGTAAATTGCACTCTTAAAACACTTGAAAGTAACAGGGGTCCCTGGGACTGAGTGAATAGCTTCTCTCTCTCTCTCTCTCTCTCTCTCTCTCTCTCTCTCTCTCTCTCTCTCTCTCTCTCTCCCTTTCTTCCTTCCTTCCTTCCTTTCTTTCTCTCTCTCTCTTTCTTTCTCTCTTTCTTTCTCTCTTTCTCCCTTCTTTTCTTTCTTTCTCCCTTCCTTCCTTTCTTTCTCCCTTCCTTCCTTTCTTCCTTTCTTCCTTCCTTCCTTTCTTTTTTCTTTCTTCCTTTCTTCCTTCCTTTTTCCTTCCTTCCTTCCTTCTTTCCTTCCTTCCTTCCTTCCTTCCTTCCTTCCTTCCTTCCTTCCTTCCTTCCTTCCTTCCTTCCTTCCTTCCTTCCTTCCTTCCTTCCTTCCTTCCTTCCTTCCTTCCTTCCTTCCTTCCTTCCTTCCTTCCTTCCTATTTAAAAAAAGTTTGGTCCAGAGCTGTGATTTCTTCAGCATGGGAAACTCCTTCCATCTACAGAGATCAATAATTCTTACTCTTAAAGAGTTGCTTGGGGCACCCAGACGTTAAGTGACTTGTCTGTGGCCACACAATTAAGTATGTGTCACAGGCAGGACTTGAACCCAGGGCTTCTTGAGAGATGACATGGAACAGTGGAAAGTTCTCTGGTTTAGGAGTCAGAGGCCTTGAGTTCAAACTCCTTCTCTGTCACTGACTGTATGACTTTGAGCTAGGTATTTCCTCACCTGTCAAATGAGGAGGTTAGAGCCGATGACCCCTAAGGTCCTTTAATAGCTATCAATAACAACAGCTAGAATTTATATAGTGCTTTAAGGTTTTCAAAGCACTTTAAAAGATCCCATTTGATCCTCACAATAACCCCAGGAGGTAGGTGCTATTATCATCCCCATTATACAGATGAGGAAACTGAGGCAAACAGAAGTTAGAGTGATTTGTCCAGGGTCACACAGCTAAGTTAGTAAGACCAGATTTGAATTCAAGTCTTCCTGACTCTAGGCCCAGGGCTCCATCCACTGTGCCACCTAGCTGCCATAACCTTAGAGTTTATCCAATCCAAGCTGTTCCATTTACGGATGAGGAAACTGAGGCCCTAGGACACACAACGACTTAGAAGTGTAGCCAAAACCATGACCCAGGTCTGCTTGACTCCTGACCTCAGCCCTTCCCTCTCCTGACTCCCAGACCATAGGATCATAGCTGCAGATCTGCAAGGGCCTTCAGGCACCATCCCATCATGTTACAGATAAGAGAATGGAGGTTAGGTGACTTGCCTAATGTCATACAAACAGTAAGCATCCAGGAGGAAATTTGAACCCAGATTCTCTGACTCTGGAGATATTCCCTTTCTTTTACAGACCATCGAGGGGTCATATGGATTTTTGGGGGGAGGGGAGGAGAAAGTGAGCCCAGGGAAGCAACGCTTGTGAGCTTTTAAACACCAAGTGACCAAACACCCAAATTGCTTTTCAAGGCTGTTGTTGAGGATTGAGGCAGTGCAGTGTGACAGTGCTGGATTTGGAGCCAGAAAAGGTTGACTTGCTTTGAGTCCTGGTCCTGCCACTGATTCTGTGTAAGACCTTGCTCAAGTCACTTCCTCTCTTTGGGGAAATTGACTCATCTTCAAATGGAGGGAGAGGAGGGGTCTGGATGACTGATATCTAAGGTCCTTTCCAGCGTGGGACCCTTGCGGTGGGACTCCATGTCCAAAAGTCAGCATTTTCTGGGACATAGAGCTAAATGCCCTGGAACATAGCATGTATGTGTTGAACAAAATAGGATTTTATACCACACTATTCTGTGATGTAAGACTTCATTTTAAAATGGGGTACAAGGTAAAAGCAGAAAAAAATGTTCCTTTTCTGCCTGACCCTACTATTGGGATGTGAGAGCACAAATATTACTTTTTATCTGCCTTATGAAACAAAGGGCTGTTTCTATCCAGGCAGGTTTTGTACCTGTCCACTCCTCCTCCCCCCACCAGGCCCCAGGATGTGAGATTCTTGATTAGATCAAATATAAGTGGTTTCCTTTCTAGCCTTTTTAAACAAACAAACAAACCCCTCTTACAATCATCTGGGAAACATGGCAGCTGTCCCAGGAGTAGACTTGGAATGGGCCAGCCAACCTTCCATGTGGATGTGAACTGAACTTCAACTGGAAACTGGAATTTTGTGTGTGTGTGACAGACACACTTAGCACACTGGAATGTTCTATGGGTGAGCAAACATTCTCCTCACATGGCCATTGGAAATCTCTTGATGTAAATACCATTTGCTATCCATCTGTGAGGAGAAGAACCAGAGCTACTAAAGAAGGTACCTGTTTGGAAAAACCCCACTTTCAAGTCATTATTCTTGACCTGAGGAGGAGGCAGAGTGGAGAAGTGGGAAGACTGCTATGTTTAGAATCTGACAATCTTGATTTGAATCCTGGTTCTGCTAACTCTTACTTCAGTGACCCCGGAAAAGTCTCTTCCAATCTTCGGGCTTCAGTTTCTGCAGTACATCATATATTTCACTTTTGCCTCAAGGCAGTGAAAAGAGCATTGGGTTTGGAGTTAGAAGACCCATGTTCCAATCTTGGATAAGTCACTTAATTTCTCCAGGCCTCAGTTTCCTCATCTGTAATCTGAGGGGTTTGGACTGGATGGCCTCTGCGGTCTCTTCTAGCTCCAAATTTTTAATCTCACAGCAAACTAGGAATCTATTTTATCTTATGTGATGTATTAATGGTCTCTTTAAAGGAGGGAGGGAAATAGGAAAAAGAATTCAACAAACATCTATTAAACGCCTACTGTGTGCTGAGCAAATAGGTAGATTTCTCTTTTAGTCACTTAATAGGACATCCAAGGTGCTTCATTGTATTAGGTTTTTTAATGAAAATCTGTAATGTGAGACTAAGGCTGGGTGCCATGGGGAAGGGTTGCTATTACCATTGGTTGT